CTGTCGGGTTATATATATTCCAACGCATGTTTGAAAAATTCTGAATGTTTTAAACTGGCTTAAAACTGCGTTGGGACGGATATTTCAGTAGACTATAGCATTTCTTATAACGTGAAATCGAGTATTCACCGTCAGCATCAAATTATAACCTAAAATTTAGTGTAATGTGAACAATTGTGAGTACGATTATTTAAAACTGTGTTGCTAACATATTTCTGTTGCCGTAAGGACAATTTTGGTTGCTGATTGTTTATTATAAAAGATTAAGATATAGAACATCCCAGAGGTTCTTTTCAGTGCGTCACAGTTTTTCGATTTCTTTCTAATGCATTAAGTTGGATGTGACGAAGAAAGCGGTAGTTCGGTGATTAAACAGAACTATATTGCAGCGTTAGAATAAGCTTATTCATATAAGAGGTTCTTTTCTAACCTACATTTGATTCGTTGATATTTAGATGCGCGCTTTCTCTAGCCAATCAAATACGCCTATTACTGACAGTCGACGTAAAATTTCGTCCATGCTGGCCATTATTTCGAAGTGTTCCAACAGTAAGTGACGGCTGTCGTTCAGGTCAGTATTTGCAAAGAATATAGACGCTATATAATATATTTATATTCTTTGGTATTTGTTTTGTAAAATTTTATTTTGTATTTTGTTTTACATAGTATTGTGATTGTGGATTTATTTGTATTTGTACAAGATGATAAAATATACGGAAAAAGAACAAGTTCTAATATTAAATTTGCTTAAATATTTTCAATTGGAAACGGAAGCTGGACAAACATTATTACCAATTTCTGCTGTTCGTGAAGTAAGTTGAAAATGACCCTGAAAATAAAATTGTTTTATTTACTGTTTATTTCAGCGTAATGGGGACATTAGGTATTTGTATGGTATTTTTCAAAACACCATTCAATACACGTAGTTTTTTAACCATATTGCGACCTTTGTATTTACTTGACCTAGTGGTTCAATGGTATCATAATTGGATAACAAAGAACACTATTGTCATACCATTTCACACACAAATTTTCATTAGTTTTGTTAAATCTATAATCATATGCATTTTTCTTCATTAGCTTACTCTTCATTAGCTTTCTCCATTACTGGACATTTTACAGTTCCTGTTGCCTTTACATTTTTTTGTTTCAGATATATCATTAGTTGATATGTCACGAAATGTTTATCGAAAAAATTTCATTTGTTGATGATGGTTCAGGCAACTGTTTCAAAATATCAATTACTATTTTAGCTTCAAGTGGTCTATTTTAATGGTACCATTTGTTTTTTTTTTTCGGCAATAAACGTGAAAACCATAATCATATCCAGTGGAACCAGTTATCATCCAATTCTTATATTCACATCTAACTGGCTTCTCTCTAATTAACTGTTTAGCTAAGTTAATGAATATTTTACCATGGAGTTGTCTAAGGAAATATCTTTATAGAAACATCCCCACTGCCAGTATTTTTCGATAGTTTTATCTGCTAAAATTCTAATTTTGTATATACCAACGTACAAAATAGAATTTTATTTTATTTATGTAATTAAATTATAAGTTACCTAATAAATTTTTGAAAACAGTCTTTTTTGTATTACTTATACTATGGCCAAAAAGCAGTAGTGAGAATAGAAGATTTAACATCAGAAAAAAATAGAAGTACAAAGAGTTGTTCGACAAGGGTGTATACATAAACCAGTATTATTTAATATGTATACTCGGAAGACATATTAATTAAGGGAATGAATTAACGAAACGTAGACATTAAAATTAAGGACATGATCATAAATAACCTGAGATACGCTGATGATACAGTTCTTTTAGCCGAATCACATGAAGACCTACAGATACTTCTTAATTAGGTGACCGCAGTAAGCGAAGAAGAATATGGACCATCACTCAACAGAGCAAGAAATATATGATAATAACAAAGACAACTCAGGAGATTCGTGAGATATATGTACAGAATCAGCCTATTGAAATAGTAAGAGAATTCAAATTCCTAGATACAACTATTAATGAAAACAATGACAGCTCTCAAGAAATACGAATCAGAATCAAACAGGCCAGAAGCGCATTTATAAGAATACAAAGGCTTCTCTGCTGTAGAAACTTAAACCTTAAGTTAAAACTATGACTGCTGAGGTGCTACGTGCTATCCGTATTATAATACGGGATGGAAGCGTGGACACTGAAGAAAATTCACGTGAGGAGACTGAAGGCATTCGAGATGTGGATGTACCGAAGAGTACTAGAGATCTCATGGGTAGATGGAATAACCAACGTTGAGGTAATGTGACGTATGCATAAGGAAAGAGAAGTACTAACAATTAAGAGGAGAAAAGTGGGATATATGGGTCATGTGATGAGAGGAGATAAATATCTAACACTCCAGGTCATTATGCAAGGAAAACTTAGGAGAAAAAGATCCATGGGAAGGAGACGTAACTCATGTAATAGCGGCTTATTTATAGCCGCTGTCCCAAAATTAAAAATCGCTGTGATGATTGCCAATTTCGACGCGCAGACAGCCCCTTGAGAAGAAGATACAAAAATTCAATAAATGAATCATTTTGTCGTCAATTTCAAATTTTTCCGTATTTATAAATTGAATAAACATATTGTTTACTTTTTATTTTTATTAATATACGGGATTACCCCCTGTGGCTAATTACGATCCTGGCATCTGTCAGATTCTTTAATAATTATATGAAATAATTCTCGACACACCTAATTCATTATATGACGTCATAATTAATGACGCACTGAAAAGTACCTCTGGGATGTACTTTAGGTGATAGTTGATGAAGATAGGTGAGTACATAATTTAATATTGCTGATCAGTACGAAATTTATCATAATGGGCAATAAATCTTGAATGGGATTATAGATCCCAACATGTGTTTTTACTGGGAAATATTATTCCGACAGGTATAAACAACTTCCTTTTTTAGCATGGATCGAAAGAAACAGAAACTTAAAGAAGATGAACTTGATTACTATGATAATAACATTGATGAAATTGAAATTATAGACTATAGTAGTGATGATAGTATGGTGGATAACGACTTCAATTTGTCATCAGATGCACTAAGTGAGGCAAGTTCACTTGAAAGTGAAGTGAATATATGTAATGGAACTGAGAACGCAGCTCAAATTTCAGGTCAGGAATCCTCTGACGATGATGAAGATATCCAAGATGTAGACGAGGTTTTACAACCAATCGAAGCAGTTCTCATTAGACTGTTTTCTAAAAGTATTTCCTAAAAGTTTGTTTATGTGTTTAGCCCAGTGTACAAACCATAGGCTTGAAATTTTAGAAGAGAAAAAGAAGAAAACTTTGTCAAAACGTACCAAAAAGAAATGATGCTACTTACTGGTGTTACGTTAGTTATGCATTATAATAGAGTTCGTTCTTTCGCAATGTACTGGTCTAATAATACATCACTTGGAAACGATTATATTCGTAGTGCAATATCAAGGGATAGGTGCCAACTACTATTACCAAAATTATATTTTGTCGAATCCAATAAACCTGCCACAGCAAATAAAACTTATTATATAGATGATGTTATTTCCTGCTTGAAGACAAGTTTTATTAGAGCTAGAAGTGATTCTACCTATCAAACAATTGATGAGTCTATGGCATAATTCAAAGAGCGATCTACATTGAAACAGTATATGCCCCTCACACCCATAAAATGTGGCATGAAGTTATGGACAAGATGCGATTCGGAAACTGGTTATGTTTACGATATAAATGTGTATGCAGGCAAAAATGATAATAAGATGGCAGGTACTTTCGGAGAACGTGTCTTAAATCAGTTATCTTCAACAATTTCTAATGAAAATGTTGTAATTTGCTTCGACAGATTTTTTACAACAGTTTATCTTATGGATACCATTATGTTTCCTGCTGTCGGTACATGCATGAGTACCCGAAAAATTTACCCAAATTTCATGGCAAGCTAAATCGAAGAGAATCGCAAGTAAAAGGTAACGAAACTGGAATATTAGCTATATGATGGCAGGACACAAAAGATTTTATTGTACTAACTAACTGCCATAAGCCAGAAGAAACAACTGTGTGTAGAAAACTGAAACATGGTACAAAAGCCAACATTTGTTGTCCTGTATCGATTGAATTCTATAACCGTTACATGGGAGGTGTAGATAGATGTGATCAAATGACATATGTGTACGATCTCTATAGAAAATCCCAAAAATGGCGAAAGGTTTACTACAAAGTTCTAATGATGGCAGTATACAATTCATATATTCTATACACGGTGTTACATACCAGAAATAAGAAAAGGCACTTTCTAAATTATCTGGTTGACTTAGCTGAGATTCTTATGAGTACTGGTCGACAAGGACTCCAAAGAAGAAAAAAACCAAACATGTTGGCCGTCGAAGCATGTCAGCCACAGTGATGAGTAATGTTGGCGACTATTTACCTACACGACATAAGAAAGATAAACGTACTAAATTTATTTGTAAAATGTGTGATGCTCCGTTATGTAGCGATTGTTTTACCCATATCATGTATAAACATTTATCATTCATGTATACTGTTGGGATTATATATCCCAAAAATACTATTGGGATATATAATCCCATGCATTTTTTACCAAAAAAAAAATAAAAAATAATTTTTTTTAAATGCATTCTTAGTTCTTGTAAATGCCCTAGAACAAAAAACTACACACAATATATCAAATGTTAAAATAAACAAATCAGGAGTGAAAGGGTTAAAGGAACGCACTATTTTCGGGGACACTGTGTATATGTCCTCTCAAACTACCATATTTTAAGAAATCCGAACATTACAATAATACATGAAGTATAGAAGTATCCGACTGGAAGGTATACCATATTCTAAACTTTCAAAAAACGTCAATGACAACTTTTGGCAAAGGCGCCAAGTTTTTAATTTTTCTTCGGCTCAAGTCTAGGATTTAACTTCTATGTGACACTGATAAAACAACTTATTATAACTTAAACATAGTAAATATAGAAATTGTTAGTTTTAAAATAGCACTGAGCAAACCTTTTTCCTGATTCTGTAGGGGAACTAAAAGCAATGTCGGAATTTTTTAAAGTATAACCTAAAATGAAATTTCTTTTTAAGGAATTCATCATTTCTGTTGCGATTCCCTGGTTTCTATTAGCTGCTGACACCCATAACCTTGGAATTCCACATTTTATCGGATACTTGGTCTCTGAACAGACATCAACTTCGTTATCGACTGGAGAAACTAATTTATAACCTTCTGATTTAGCGGTAGCTATTAGGCAACCAGCAATTTCCTTTTTCTTTATATACAGGAAAGCCTGAGAAAATTCAATGATAATAAATAAATATATATTTCATACTTACATATACTTTCATGTACCTTATATTTCATAAAAGGTACTAATGAAAGGAGAGAGAAAAAACGCATACACCGAAAAAAGAAACGAGACTCGGAAAATGACATATTAGAACGGCTCGAAAGCCATATGAGTCACGGAGAAACAAGAAAGTTCGAGAGTAGAGTAGAGTAGAGCACTTTCGAGAGTTGCTGGAAGGGGAACCTACTAAGAATATACAGCTGGAATACCGAAATGAGGAACTCGTGGAAACCCCCTCGGTAGATGAGGTGAAAATATCTATAGAAAAACTAAGGAATCACAAATCCTCAGGCAGCGACGGCATCCCAGCAGAGTTATTTAAGCACGGTGGAGAGCAGCTCACCAAGGTGCGAGAAATTGTTTGTAAAATTTGGTGTGAGGAGCAAATACCTGAAGAATGGAGCTTAGGCTTAATTTGCCCGTTACACAAAAAGGGAAACCAACTGGAATGCAATAATTACCGCAGAATAACCTCCTAAATACAGCATACACGATATTGTCAAGCAATTTGGACGAGAGATTGAAGCCTTATACCGAAACGTTTCTAGGAGAATATCAGGCACGATTCAGGCGTGGGCGTTCAACTATTAACTAGATCTTTACACTATGACAGATCCTCGAAAAAGCACAAGAGTTTAACATAGATATGTATCATATTTTTGTCGATTTTAAAGCGGCATATGACAGTGTCTTAAGACCAAGTCTTTACAACGCTATGAATGAGTAAGGAATTCCAAAAAAACTCATATGTTTGATAAAAGTGACAATGGCGAAGATGGGGCAGCGAGATGCGCTGGCGTATCAGCTTTTTAATGTCGCCTTAGAAAAAGTTCTACGAGACGCTAATTTAGATAGCAGGGGAACAAGATTTAATAGATCAGTCCAAATTCTAGCATATGCAGACGACGTGGACATTATAACAAGGGCGAGAACTGCGGAAATCCTAACGGAGTGAGTAGCAGCAGCAGAACGTATGGGGTTACATATAAATCAAAATAAAACCAAATTCATGGCGACTAACAGAAACACAAGAGCTGGAAATGTTGACGCAGATTTAAACATCAATGACCAAAACTTCGAAGCAGTCAGAGTTCATATATCTAGGGACATCGGTTAACCTCAATAATATCACATCTTAGGAAATAAAAAGGCGAATAATAATTGCAAACAGGTGTTATCATGGTCTATCAAAGTACTTAGCTAACAAACGTCTGTCTCAAAAAACTCGTATAAGACTGTATAGAATACTGATAGTCCCCGTTCTCACATACGGATCAGAGGCATGGACACTAACTAAAACAGATGAATACGCTCTATCGATTTTTTGAAAGAAAGTTGCTACGCAAGATATTCGGAGCGGTCTGTGAGAACGGAATATGGAGGCGTAGATATAACTTTTAACTGCAGAATATCTACAAGCATACGTTTGGTGGTAAATATATTACCACTATAATTAAGCGAAACCGCCTGCAGTGAGCAGGACACGTCGCCCGGGCCCCTGAATCGAACATGATAAAAAAGATTCTAACAGCGCAACTCGTGGGAATGAGAAGACGGGCTAAACCAAAGCTGAGGTGGATGGATGAGATAACACAAGATGCGGAGAAGATTGGAGTCGGCAACTGGAAAATGCAAGCAAGGGACAGAACAGAATGGCGTAGAAAGCTTGATAAGATCGAGGCCCTCTAAGGGGCTGTAGCACCAAGATGATCTGACTATACGAAAGTTATAAATAGAATTAACAATGACGAAAGTGACGAGGTGTAATTGCAATTCCATATAACAGGGAAAATCAGTCAATATTAACTAAATAGATTGATCTATTGATCTAACTAGATAGAGTGGTCTATTTGTAGGGCAGTTGGGATTGAAAAGCATTGTTAAAGGAACGATAAGGTATACACTGAACCTAGACATGGCTGACGAACAATTTCAAGAGGTTGTCATGGCGTTCGAAGACAATCATCTGGAAATAATGAGGAGCTCCAACAGGAAAGTGCCTTGGTGGAAGGCCCTATCCTAAAAGGATAGATGTTAGACAATTTGTTGTTTAGGATAAAAATTTAATTCCACCAAAAAAGGGTGATAAAACTGTCTTTGAAAATTACAGAGGAATCACACTATTAGAAGTAGAATATAAAGTATTAGCAAAAATTATATGAAGTAGATTAAAAACCTACGAAAAAGAGCCATATGACAATACTAGGCTGGTTTCAAACAGGGAAGAAGAACAACCGATCAAGTTTTTTATGTTTAAGTTGTTATAAAACAACAGTTATCAACAAAACCTAGGTTTGCATATCTCTTTATTGATTTTAAACAGGCCTACGACTCCACCTCATGAAACAGACTATACAAAGCAATGAGATCACTAGGAATATCAGAGAAACTTATACGATTAGTTAAAATGACACTAACTAATACAGTCAATAAAGTCGTGATAGAAGAAAGTCTTTCAAATCCGTTTAACGTGAATAGTGGATTAAAACAGGGAGATCCCCTGTCAACAGACTTGTTCAACCTAGTACTAGAAAAAATAATTAGGAGCCAAGATCCAGACAAGCGGCACAATTTTTAAGAAAGACAACAATGTATAAATTTCGCAGATGACTTGGTATTTCTGACACATTCAAGAATAGAACTTCAAAAATGTTTACAAAACTTGAAAATATGATCTGATCATAAATCAAGAAAAACCAAAAGTATATGGAAATAGAGGGGAAATGCAGAAGAAAATAAATGAATCACTCTAAGAATGAATGATGCAGAGTATAAATTTGAGAAAGTAACAGAATTTGAGTACCTTGGAGTAACAGTTACAAATAGAGCAGGCGAAGACAGAGAAATAGACAAGCGGTTGTTGAAAGGTAGCAAAGCAGTAGCATCATTAAACACACTGTTGAAGGCAAAAAACGTATCCAGGGCAGCCAAGAGACGAACTTATGAAACAATAGTGAGACCGACAGTATTGTAGGCATGTGGAACTTGGAGGTAAATATCAGTGTGGGTTTCGTAAAGAAAGATCAATGACTGATCAAATATTCCTTCTTAGGCAAGCTCTGGAAAAAACATATGAGTATGATAGAATTCAGCATCCCAGTACACTTAGTAAAATTCGTGAAAGCGACCTCTCAAGAGTCAAGTGTAAAGTTAGAGGACAGAACTGAGTTTCCAAAACATTTCAGTCTCAGATATGACTTAGATAAGGAGACAGCCTATCATGCCTTCTATTCAATATTGCACTAGAGAAAGCGATAAGAGAATCTACAATAACAACCAGAGGAAATATTATTAATCACAGCCTACAATTATTACTAGCGTACGCCGATGACAAAGAGCGATGATGAACGTTTAAGATGCTTTGAACGTAAAATCCTCCGGCATATCTATGGAGGAGTACAGGAAGGCAGGTACATCAAAATAAACCGGCTGCGGTGGATAGGTCACATAAAGAGAATAAATGAGATAGAACCGCCAAAATATATTTATAACCAAAGAATAGATGGTGTGAGAAGGAGAGGCAAACCCAGAGCACGATTTAGGGATCAGGTGAAGGAAGACTTGAGAATGTTGGGAGTGTGAAACTGGAAAGTCAAGGCGAAGAATAGGAGAGAATGGAGACTTATCCTTGAGCAGGCCAAAACTCACCATGGATTGTGGAGCCAATGATGAAGATGAAACTTGGACAAAGAATAAAAAACAACTTAAAAAGTTAAGATATTTGGGAGAGGTAAATCCTGAGAAAAGTTTTTGGTGGGATAAAGGAGGCTCATCAGAATGGCATAGAAGAACAAACCAGGAGCGAATGGAGACTTATGAATGGAGATTTATGAATATTTAGGAGATTTATGGAGACCCAAAATAACGCCATGACCCAAATAACGCCAATAATGACCCAGAAGATCAGAGCACAGAGAGTTAGATGTTTGGGGCATGTTTAGAGGGCAACCACGAAGAATGTGGTTTGATGATGTCTGAACCGACATAGAAGAAATGGAAACAAGAGACTGGAAACTACAAGAAAAGAACCGTAAAAAGTGGAAAAGAATAGTCAAGACTATCGAAGCCAAGGGCCTCTAGGGCTTGTAGTGGTATTAGTGACGTGAGAAATGTCAGGGTTCCATAAAATGCTCCCCAAAAATCCTCAGATACTAACAGTTTAAAACAAAACTGACTTACAGTTCTGGGGAAAACTGGCATGTGGTAAAGGTAGTGATAAATCAGGACAAAATCATATGGGCAATAAACTTCTGACCATATACATCACCGGGTCCGGACGAAATTTATCTAAACCTGTAGAAACAATTATTTATGATACTATAAGCTAGCTTTTTTAAATTTTGAAAAAAATATTGAAACAAAAATTGAAAAATTTCAATTTCTCAATGCCTAATGCTAGACTCAGGTATCATTTACTCGGGTAATTACAGAATGGACTTCAAATGAAGGCTTCCGCTTCAAATGTATAAGTTCCCATAGGACCAAAATCATGAAATTTACCAGGAGGAATTTAGTCCTCTAAGCCTGAATGGTACATATATAAATCTAGTAACCGAAGTGTCTAAAATTTGGGTTTAAAACCAGATTTGTTAGATTGGATTGATAACATGTTGAGAGCAAGCTAACATCAGCTGTAAAAGCCCTACTGGAGTTTCCTCCTTTGTACATTGCTGTAAGGGAGAGGCGATAATGGGAAATTACAGGCTGCAAAAAAACCTAAGCAAGAAGAAAAATAACAAACAGTGTTCAAGATGATCTAAGTAAACTTAAACTTATTAACTTAAATTATTATCTTAGGTGTTAAATAAAACAATTAGAAGCATCGAAAGAAAACCTTACGTACCTGGCAATTTTCTAAAGATATGTCTACATCGTAACAGCCAATATCCTGATTGATAACATGCATTAGGTCACTGACTTTTTTCCACCATATTTTCGAATCTCCTGGTAAAATTTGTAGAATTCTACCATTCTGTTGAAAATTTGCCACGATCTTTTCATTTTTCCAACCCTAAAAAGATAATATTTATCGTGTATTATTTAATAAGTTAATGTTTATCGTGTATTATTTAATAAGTTAATATTTATCGTGTATTATTTATTAAGATCATATTTATAATGTATTATTTATTCCTATAAAGGGATAAAATTATTGATTTGCAATCAAACAATTCTGAAACGTGAATATGGTAACTTTTACAAGAAACACTATTAGGTGGTAACGCCCCTACAAAAGTCTAAAATAAAGCGTTTTTGTTTTTGTGTTAAATGTTATAAAAGGAAAAGTAGGAGAATAATAATATTCAAGAATGCAATAGTATGTTCTAAAAGTTTTGAGATTATTTCTGAGCTATAAGTTTGCAAAATGTTTTTCTTTAAATGTTAGTACTTTTGTCAACAATCTTTTTAATTTTACGAAGGCTTTGGCTCATAACTAGCTGTGATGGCACTGATGTTCATGAAAACTGTTGGACCAAATGATATCTGAAAAATGAAGTGGGTCAAATATCAGAGGGGAAATAAAGGGGTAGAATGCGAAAACATGGAGTTGATTCCAGTTTACACCAATTAGCCTCTTCTGCTGAAATCCGACTCTCACCTTCACGCTGGTGTCCCCTGTAAACCGAGCAACTCAACTGGAGATCCAGTATCCATCCGGGTGAAAAGTAGGATCGGAAACTGACGAGAGTGGGTGAAATTGCCCTCCGAAAAGGGGGTTTGGTGTTGGGTTAACTACCCAACCCTGTAAAAAACCTTTTGTTATGAGAGCTACAAAGAAAGAAATCGGACTGTCTAACCTACGACGAACTCGTAAACGAAATAAGGATAATGATTTAAAAATTTTCACATGAAACGTAAGAAGTCTTTATTAGCCTGGAGCCACGGCTCTGCTCATACAAGAAATGAATAAAGCCAAAGCAGATATTGCTTTACAGGAAATGAGGTGGACCAGCTTAGGAATCACGGAAAAAAACAACTGCAATGTTTACTACAGCGGATATCCTACCCGACACGAATTTGGTACCGGTAACTATTGTAAGCAGCAAGGTCAAACATAGAGCTATTAATCATAGGATATGTCAAATAAGACTTAAGAGCATAGGCGCAAAATTTCAGGCCCAATGCTTTTTAAATGCAATCATTTTTTTCGAATCCTGAAAAAACTAATAAATATTTACTGAAGAAGAAGGTACTGAAGAAGAAATGCTTTATTGTGATAGCTGTGACCGACCGGTTCACAAAGATAATTATTGTTCTGGTCTGTGTTCATCAGAAATTAGGGTTATGGAGTTAAAGAAGAATCGTGTTCTACAGTTTTTGTGCCAAGAGTGTAAATCTGGAATGAAACTTGTTCCAAAACTGTTCAAATTAATTGAAAAACTGCAGAATGAGGTTAATGATATGAAATTGCAGAATTCTAAAAACCAAGAAGAGGATATTGTAAGTGAGGTATTTGAAAGACAAAAGAGAATGAACAACTTAATCATTCATAATCTAGGTGAATCTGTGGATAGAAGAAACGCTGCTTCTGATGATTTGGCTACTGTGACCTCAATTTTCAAGGATATTACTCAAGAGGATATTAAAGTCGTCAAAGCTGTTAGATTTGGTAAGAAAAACAAAAATGGTGCTCGTTCCCTAAAAATTGTATTAACAAATACTTTTGATGTAAAGAATATTTTAAAAAATAAGATTCACGTTGCCAAAGCAAGGAAGATATTTATTAATTCTGATTTAACCCCCCAGCAACTCAACAAACTCAATGAAGTTAAAGAGGACCTCAAAAAACGCCAAGAACAAGGTGAGAAAGATTTATTTATACGATATATTAAAGGTATACCTGAAATTTGCAAAAATGATAATCCCACACAAAAAAACTAGACACAACGAAACATATAACATATTCACCTCCGTTATCAATTTATTATCAAAATGTTGGTGGATTAAGAACAAAACTAAAGTCACTGGAAATTGCCATAGCTCAATGTAATTATCATATAATCATTTTGGTGGAAACTTGGTTAACTTGTGAATATAGCGATGCAGAATTAGGACTTATTGGTTATAACGTGTTTAGAAATGATCGTAATCCTGCTTCTACATGGTAAAACTAGGGGTGGAGGTGTGTTAATTGCTGTTAGAAATGACATAAGTGCACAGAAAGTGATAATCCCCGATTGTGAAGTAGAACAAATTTTTGTATCACTGAAAGTTAATAATAAGTGCATAGTTTTGGGTGGAGTTTATATCCCTCCTGCATCCGACCTAAATGTATACATGTTGCACTGCAGTTCAGTTGAATATGTGATGGAGAAGTGTGAAAACTTGTTACTGTGTGGTGATTATAATTTACCAAATGCTTCCTGGAGTAATGACAACTTTGGATTAAATGTTGAATGCCCTGAAGACTATCCTGCTGTGTATTTGGCAAATTCTTTTGGATATTTTAATATGTTTCAAATAAACAATTTACCTAACAGTCGTAATGTCTTTCTAGATTTAGTATTTACTAATTTAAATAATGTTGATGTAGTTATTCCACTTGATTCACTATTTGGTAATAGTATCCACCATTCACCTATAATTGTAGAATTAACTGGTTTTGAAAAGCATGATCAACTGAACTACGAGGAATTTTATTATGATTTTAAAAATGCAAATTACATCGGACTAAATGATTACTTTGCAAGTTTAAATTGGGACTTACTTCTATCAGATGATGTGAATTATAGCTTAGCAGTATTTTATGATTTTATGTTTACAGGTTTTGACTTCTTTGTTCCGATCAAAAAATTTAAAACAAGTTCGTTTCCAATTTGGTTCAATGGTAAATTAAGGAAGTTGATATATTTAAAAAAGAAATTACATAAGCAGTATAAATTGTTTGGTAGAAGGGATGATTATTTAAGATTTTCTCAGTTAAGAAATGAAATTAAACAAGTCTCCTCTCAATGTTATAGTAACTATTTGAATAATATTGAGAATGGGATTATATCTAATCCTCGACATTTTTGGAAATATATCAATAATAAACGTAAAAGTTATAATCTGCCATCTAATATGTTCTACGGTGATAGTACAAGTGATAATGCTCAAGACATAGTTAATCTATTTGGTAAGTTTTTCTCAACTACATATTCTAATTCTAAAATTAATCAGATCCCAATTTTTAACTATCAGCAGAGTGTAAATGTGAATAATTATAGTATTGAGGTCTCTGACATAATTGATAGTGTTTTAAAGATGCCTTGGAAATTATCGCTTGGACCAGATTGTTTGCCAGCTTATGTTCTCAAGCATTGCATTTTCACTCTTGTAAAACCTATCTGCTACTTATTTAATTCCTCATTGAGTACCGGCATCTTTCCTGATCTTTGGAAGACTAGTTATTTAACACCAATTTTCAAGTCTGGTAATAAAAATGATGTTGAGAATTATCGAGCGGTTTGTAGCCAATCTGTATTACCCAAACTTTTTGAGTGTCTTGTAAGTAACTTTTTGACATGGAATTGTAAAAATTTAATTGATGTTAGACAACATGGCTTTTCTAAGGGTAAGTCTACATGCACGAACTTAATATTGTATACGAATTTTATAGCTAATTCAGTGGAACAGAAGGGTCAGGTTGACGCTATCTACACAGACTTCTCAAAAGCCTTCGATAGAGTTAACCATGATCTGCTTATTGCTAAATTAAATGGCTATGGATTTGGAGGTAAAATAATTGAGTGGATAGGTAGTTATATATCTGGTAGATGTCAGTATGTTAAATATGGAAATTGTTTATCTCAACGAGTATCTGTAACCTCAGGAGTTCCTCAGGGGTCGCATATTGGGCCTCTCTTATTTAATATATTTGTTAATGATATATCCTCAGTGATTAAAAATAGTAATTTTCTAATGTTTGCTGATGACCTTAAAATATTTCGAATAGTTAATGACCTAGTTGATGCCTCTTTATTACAGAATGACATTAAAAGCTTAGCTAGTTGGTGTGAGGTAAACATGCTATACTTAAATATACAAAAATGTTTTAAAATTACTTTTGGAAGATCAAGAGAGTTTGTAAATTATGATTATTATATAAATAATGTACCTTTAGAGGCACGTCATAATATTAAAGATTTAGGTATAAATTTTGATTCTAAACTTACTTTTAAAAATCACATTAACGAAACTTCAGCTAAAGCTTTAAAAATGTTAGGATTTATTCTTAGAAACTGTAATCAGTTTTCAGTACAAACTTTAAAAATGTTATACTTTAGTTTAGTTCGATCAGTTTTGGAGTATGGTTCTCTCATTTGGTCTCCTTCATATAACAGTGACATCTACAGTATCGAGAGAGTTCAAAATAAATTCTTGAGGGTATGTGCTTACAAAATTGGTTTTCTTAGACAGCAATACACATATGATGATATACTGTCAATACTTAATATCTCATCACTACATGATAGACGATGTCAAGCGGATTTATGTTTCCTTTTTAAAGTTATAAATGGATATGTTCAAGATCCAGAGTTACTAAGTTTAATAAGTTTTAATGTTAATACTCGAAGAACTCGTAACACTGAGATTTTCAACATTCCATTCCACAGTACGAATTATGGCCAAAATGAACCCATTACAAGAATTTTACGAACTGCTAATGAGCACAGCAATAATTTAGAGTTATTTGGAATATCTACAGCAGCATTTAAGAAATCATTTGAGCGATTTTGAGCATTATTTAATACCTTAAGTTACCATTTTAATTGAATTTTGTTTGATTTTAATTTTGGTTTGTTTTTTATTAACGCAACCTATGTATACCTAAGCTTTGTAAAGGTTGACGTCATATTTATGTAAAAATGGTATATCCGTTAATTAAATAAATAAATATTTTTAAAAAATTTAAAACGCAGAATGAAAGATTACATTATTACCGAGGGCCGAAAGTCCCTTAGAATAAACAAAAAGTTTTTTGAATGAGATATTTAAAATCACACTAAATCTTCTCTTCTTTTTCACTCCTGCAATTTATTAAAATAAACATTATAGAAGTTTTCAGGTACTTTCGGCCCTCAGTAATAATGTAATCTTTTATTCTGCGTTTAATTTTTTCAAAAATACTTTTTAGTTTTCCCAGGATTCGAAAAAAATGAATGCATTTAAAAAGCATTGGCCCGAAATTTTGCGCCTACGCTCTTAAAGAGAAGTTTGCTAATATTAACATTAGCATCTATGCTCCAACAGAAGAAAAAGAGGATGATGAAAAAGACATGTTCTATGAGGCACTAAACCGAGAGTACGATGAGTTGGAAATCTGATAATGAAACGATTAACCAAATAGATCATATAATCATCGATGCAAGACACTGCTCTAACTTATTAGATGTTAGGTCTTTTAGAGGAGCAAACATAGATAGTGATCACTATTTAGTTAAAGCACGATTTAAAGAGAGAATATCCAATTTAAAAAAGGAGATCGGGAGGAGAGAAAAAATTGACATTAATAAACTAAAAGATCCCATCATTGCAAATGTATACCGACAGCAAATAGAAGATCAAATAAGGATAAAAAACTTAGAAGAAGAAGACATTAATCGACTATGGCAAATATACGAGATATTGTATTACAGAAATCGGTTGAAATATTGGACAAAACCAAGTCAGAAAAAAGAAGTCATGAGTGTGAAATGGCCACAAATAGAAAGAACACAGCATATCAAAAAACCATCGATGCAGGTTGTACACGGAGAAAAAAAGAAGAGTATAGACGTCTTATAAGAGAGGAAAAAACCACGATTAAAAATTTGTAAAGACACTAACAGTGAAATTCTACATGATAAAAACTCAGTTCTTAACAGATGGGCAAACATTTCAGCGAACATCTAAATATAAACAATATTGAAGGAGGTTACAACATAGAAAATCAACAAAATCTACAGCGTCAACTACACAGTGAAGACCCAACAAGAGAAGAAGTATCAAATGGCATCCTAAAACTCAAAGACAATAAAGGTGGTAATAAACTTTTTGCAGCAATCAATAAACTAATAGTACTTATATGGCAGAATGAATTGGTACCAGAAGAGTGGCTAAATGGAATAATATGTCTGTTGCATAAAAAGAGTGATCATCTATAGTGAAAGAACTATAGAGCATTACTCTGTTAGCATCTGCATATAAAATCTTCGGTAATGTATTGTTTGAAAGACTTAAACATTTTACAAAGGATATTTTTGGTCAATATCAATGCGGATTTACTGCTAGAACCACCATCTCTTCATCGACTTCAAAGCAGCCTATGACAGTGTGAAAAGAACTGCATTATATAATGCAATGATATACTTTGGGATCCCACCAATTAAGTTAAGTTGACGCAACTAACAATGCAAAACGTAAGCTCATGCGTTAGAATTGAAGGAGAAAACTATGTTCTTTGACATTAATAATGGTCTCAGACAGGGGGAGCGCTGGCGTGTCCCCTCTTTAATATTACTTGAAAAGGCATTAGACAATTAATATTCGAATGATTGGGCATTTTTAATGATCAAGCAAATTCTCAAATTGCTGAAGTGCGTTTAGTGGGCGAGTATGGAGCAGGTGCACTGTTTTACAGCTTGCAGACGCGGCAAGTGATGAGGCTTGGTAAACGAGGAAAAACAATATGTTTTAACCTCGAAATTCCACAGAGAATTCAATTAGCACATACTTTGAGCGAGTCAAAGAATTCACATTTCTTCGATCGCTATTAAATGCAACAAACACGACAAGCGACGAAATAAAAAGAGGTATAGCAATAGCAAACAGAACTGTTACAGTCTCCAGAAACATTTAAAAATAAAAATATAAAATGTGTAGTAAAGCTCAATATATACAAGACCTTAATAAGACCGGTTTTGATATATGGTGCTGAAACATGCACCTTATCTCAAAATGATGAATGATTTCTTGGTATTTTTGAGAAAAATTCTTAGAAAGATTTTTGGGGCCGTAAATGAAAATGAGCTATGGGGTAGAAGATATAACTTTGAACTATATCAGTTATACACCGATCCAGATATTGTGAAATTCGTTAAAGTGCAGAGACTTAGATGGGCTGGACACATTGCTAGGATGTCAGATCACGAATACACGAAGAGATTAACATTTTCAAAACCAGAGGGCACAATAAGCAGAGGACGGCCACGAAGTAGATGGATTGATGGTGTGGAAAAAGACCTACAGATTCTAAGGGTCAGAAGATGGAGGAAAGTTGCCAGGAATCGACAGGAGTTGTGACTTCTTTGTGAGTTGGCCAAGATCCACAACGTATTGGCGAGCCACTTATGATGATGATGATGAAATATCAGATGATTGAAAAAGCGGTATATATTAGTACATGTTTACAAAACAAAGAAGATATACAACAATGCACAAACTTGCAGAGTATCAGAGTATGAATTATCCACATAACATTTCGGTAGTGTCAACCCACAAAAACATAGTCTCAAAATATCATGTCATTTGGATTATTATTTAACGAGTTACAGTGCTTGAAGTGGCGTTACTTTTGTGATTTTTATAAACAATTGATTCAAAGCAATTCTGTGTGTAGACTCCATCACTGTTATTTGATGGGAAAAATGCTGTTAAAACTGAACAATGGCTCACAAAGTATTACTGGGACTCTGTTCCATTGATTACAATCATTAAATGATGGTTTGAAGTCCAAATGAAGCAGTTAATCCCGAAAACAACAAAAACTGCTGAAAATTTTGGAAAAGCAAAGTGAAGTTGCAAGAAATTGTTGCACTCAAAGACAAAAATTTTGAAGGCAAAAATAAATTGTTTTACAAGGGTGGTATATGCATTTATGCCTGTTGATTCATATCGTCAAAGAATAGAAAACTCTTTAAAAATGATGAAATAAAGGTTACAGTCTTAAGTCTTACACAGCATTGTACAGATATGTGCCAAAAGTGAAGACTTTTTTCAGCTACCGGAGTGATTTTGAGAAACCAGCATTCAGAATGGATTTTATTAAGAAAAATATTCTTAAATTGGGAAAAACACCTACTCCAGGTGCAGTTATACTCTATAAAATAAACAAATAAATAAATAATGCTATTGACCTGGGGCATTATTTTCAGCATGAACTTTCATTTTTACAAGCATATTGATATTTTGTATTAATATTATAAATACGGGATAGAATATCTGATTATTGGAATATTAATATACTTACCTGAAATCTTAGTATATGCTGGGCACTATGGTAATTTAAGTGCATTACTTCATCACTGGGATCACCCATATGATACACGAGACCACAGACATGACATTCTGTTAAACCAAATTTCTTTTGTCCGGCATCCAAGAGCATTTGCGTGTCAGATAACTTCTTGAAATGTTTTTCAGAATGAACAGATTTTTCAATTTTTACAGGTGTCTTTGTAGCTCCTGGGTAGAAGACTGGAAACAGCTTTCCATTCATCTCTGATCTTGAAGAATCTGACATTTTTGTTAACACTGGAGTAAGATTTCTACCTCTCTTAGGACTAGTTAGAGCTAATCCAGATGTAACGTCACACATTTGTGAAATGGGAGATAATATTAAATCCTCTGTACACATGGGTTGGTGTTGGTGTAAGAGAATTGAATTTTCAGAAGCAGCTATAGAAGTATGTGCTTGAAGAGTTATTTGATTTTCTAGAGATTTGTCTTCTTCTTCTAAACAAGAAAGGATGTTTTCAATATTTGTCACTGGAAGTTCAGGATCATCTGCATATAAGTCACTCATATCAAAATTGTTAAGTTCAGTATTTCCAATTTTTTTATTTTTATCTACTAATGACATTCTGCCATTATCAACCTTTAATTCTATGGTTTTATTCATTTTTACTACAGCTTTAGATTTTGAAAACTTAAAGAACTTTTTATTGGGATCTGGTTGTGGTTCTGGACTAGATGAACGTTTTCTTGTAATTTCTCTTGTAATTTCTTTTGCAGGAGTTATGGCAGGTACAATTTGATTTGTATGGGAAAACGATTTTTGTTTAGCGGGGAATATTTGATTTTGATGTAACACTGGATCTGTATTCTCTTTATTTATTATTAACTTTGGTGCTTCTTGAGAACTCTGTAATTTTTTTAGATCTACTATATAGTTGGTTATTGCATTGTTCCCAATTGTACTTAATTTTGAACTTACCAAAGTTGATCGTTGTATATTTTTTGACTTAGGTTTTCTTATTTTATGACTAACGCCTGCATTTATCTTACCGATAATCCTACCTCTAGATTTAGGTTTACGTTTATTGAGAGTAGATGGTTTTACAATGGATTCTCTTTTGTCTTTAACTTTTTCCATAATATTTTCAGTATTTGAATAAAATAGTTTGGTTGGGAGAGCAAAATCTACTTCAGGAAAAAGAGTTGTGCGGACTCTAGAGGATTTTGGATCTAATTTGATATATTTGTTTTGTTCAGGAGAATTATCAGGTGATAACTTGCGCTTAGTAGATCCTTCACAAGAATCTAAAAGAGATTTATGGTACAATTTTGGAAGTTTACAATTTGTATCTAATGAAGCATGAGGAGTTTTTAATTTGTATGTTGGAGAAGTTTTAGATGGAGTTTCAGATATAAGAGATTTCTTAATGAAAGGACTTAAATGCAATGGTGACATCATGATTTCTTGAGTATCTACTATTCCTATTATATCATAGTCCCCAATATCTGCTACTGAATCTATGGAAGTTTGATCAAGCTTTGAAGTATTTTCTTCATTTTCAAAACTTGAATCAAAATGTAGGGGGCTGATATGTCCCAAATCGGAATCAGACCCACATTCTATAGGTTCAGAAGGAAATAGGGATCTTCTGCTATTATTAACATGTAAAACTTTCAAGGATTTACAATCTTCTGAAACTTCTGCAGCATTCATTTTATTCTGTAACGTGAGAAATTATAAACTTGATTAACAATTAAATCCACAATTTTATATTATAATAGACTGTTTACATTATACATCATAAATATGTGATATGTATGACAAACTAGTATGAAATGCATCTTCTTGTTATAATCTTGGTAATATTTAATAGGAGCCTAATTTATGGATTCTTAAGTAAAATATTTAAGGATTCTGCTTTCAGGAAAATAATTTTGTGGTAGGCTAAGGTTTAGACTTGATTGTGTGGATACTTGGTATACTCAACAAAACAAGTTCTTAGTAGAACTTGAAACATTTACTTATTTTAGGCTGATACCTAGATTCTAAATAAGTAAGGAAATTACATAAAAATTATATTGACTAATCTCTCAGACAACAGGAATGGGTTTGTTTCTGGATTGTTTTGTATTCTGTAGCTCATGTCTTGCGGAGTTAAGGGTTAAAGAAAATATCACGGCTTACCTGATTTTAAAATTGTTGCACTATATGTTAATATTGTAACAGCTGGTTACTTAAATATAAATTACATTATTACAAGATTCAAATAAACGTTGCCGAAGAAAAATGTTTTATCTATTTGCCTCCGTTTTATTTGACTGGCGCCAAACTGTGAACTGTCATTGGGTCATCTGATGCATAACAATAAAATCTTGTTCTGTGGAATAAATCAATCTTCACACTATCAAAATTAAGAAGTAAAAGAAGAATCAAATAATTTTTTCCATTACTTATCAAATTTGAATTTATCTGGAGTACATAGACAAATTAACCCGGTTTAATTTATTTACGACAACTACAGACATAATATGCACTATTTTATTCGTTTTTAGTTGAATAGATTAAATTATTTCAAATGTACTAAATTATTATAAAAAATTATTAATCTATAAAAATTTAAATTACAGTCTGTCGTAGACGAAATTGACTGACAGCTTGAAAAGTTAAAGTCTAAACTACAGCAGAATAGCACTGGTAGGTAAGGCAAACTCAAACAGATGAATGGAAGAGGAAGTGTAAACAAGAAGGATTCAAAACATTTATTTTGAAAGTTGACAGAAAATTTTTGTTAACTACCCTATAGTTTATAGTTATTATATCAATTATTTGACAATAAATCGTATAATATGGGAGATAGATATAATATCCACAGTCAATTGGAACATCTGCAGTCAAAATATATTGGTACTGGTCATGCAGATACCACCAAATATGAATGGTTAGTAAATCAACACAGAGATAGTTTTTCCAGCTATTTGGGCCATCCCGATTTAATAAATTACATTGCTGTTTGTGAAAATGAAGCGAAAGCTCGTGTTAAGTTTAATTTAATGGAGAAGATGCTGCAACCATGTGGACCACCTCCAGATAAACCTGAAGATTAAATTATAATTACATTGATTTATGTAAGGTTTTAACAATTAAATACTTGATACTCTTAATGTGTATGTGTTTATTATAACTTTCAAGTGTTACAGTTTCATGGACCATTAAATTTATAAACTGGAAGACAGATTACAAATGTCATATCAAAGAATATATATGCATATGAGAGGTATACTGATCTGAGAACTATCTCCTTCATAACTTCTCTCTCTATAACCTTTATCTTTACTGTCGTTCAGTCTGTGGAATCACAACCAGTCTTCTGTGTTAAGATCTTGATTTTGCCTCTTTAGAGGGGTCCTGATAGTTTCTTCATTAAGTTTTTTCTTGGGGGCACAGGTGAGGACCATGGAGCGCTTAGGCATATTATTTGGAACAATATATTTTATTTAATAAACGGGATAACCCCATTAACAGTTTAAATTACAATATCACAGTTAGGCTTCAAAACTTGAAATTAGATATAATATAAAATCAATATTAAAAAATTTTAAAAAAATAAGACTAAAAATCTTACATACTAAAAAAAACAAAGTATAACAAAAACAAAATTCATTAATTCCAATATACATATCACAAAGCAAGAGATCTTTTAACTAAGTTATATTGAAAATATCAAAAACGCGATCATTTAATAGCCCCATGTATCTATCCAATGGGTTGTGAATACCATAGGTTGTTCTGTGGAAAGGAATATTGAAAACATTGTGGTACTGTAGAGCTTGATGGGGAACATTAAAGTTAATCTGGCTAAACAGGTTTGGACAATCAATAAATCCATATATGATCTTATATATAAATATAGCTCCTGACATGTCACGACGGTTCTTGAGTGAGGATAAAGATAATTATTGTTCGATATGGAAATAATCATGATTTTCAATAGTAGTGTGGATGTGGTAAGCACAATATCTCAAAAATTTATGCTGGACCTTTTCTATGGTATCAATATTGTTCTGAAAATAGTGTGACCATATAACTGAACAGTATTCCAAAATAGTTCTAACAAGCAACAATACACTAATCTTGTTGAATTAATGGAGAAATACTTGCAATTCCTAGTAACGAAACCAAGAAGTTTAAATGCCTTTATTGAAATAGAGTTTATGTGGTCACAGAAAGTAAGCTTCTCATCGAAAATAACACCCAAATCCCGAATAGAAGAAACATAATTAAGTGGCTGATTAGTAATAGTATAACTTGTTCCAATTCTATTGACTTTACGAGAAAAACTTATAAAACAACATTTTTTACATTTAAGTGGAGTTTGTTCTGATTGCACCAATTTTGTAGTCTGTCTAAGTCATCTTGTAGCAAGACTTGATGTTTTAAACTGTCTATAAGTTTCCAGAATTTCAAGTCATCCGCCAACATTAGACATTTGCTATTTAGGAAACAGGAAGTGATGTCGTAATGAAATCTTATTAAGTCCATGAAAATACTAAAAAGAAGTGTAGAAGTGTGGCCTCTTTGAGTAACTCCAGATGTTACTGTGATACTGTCAGATAGATGACAGCCTATCTTGACCTTTGACTTCTCCCAGATGTAGAGTTTTGAATCCATTCAACAAACCTGACATGAAAGCTGACATTAATTAATTTGCTCAAAAGTATTTGGTGATCTACATGATCAAATGCCTTGGAAAAATCTGTGTATATTGCATCTACCATAATTGCATTATGGTCTTCCATATGAGATAATATATCAGATTGATAGCAAACCAAATTTGTTGCAGTGAATTTTTGCTATGAAAACCATGTTGAGATTGAAATATTAAGCCTGAACATATAACCAAGAAAGTTGCTTTACTATAACACTGTCAAAAAGCTTAGGGATTGCAGATTGTATACAAATGCTACGATAATTTTCAATATTGTCTTTCGGACCATTTTTAAATATAGGAACATCATAACTTTCTTACCATAAAGAAGGAAACACAGAGGTTTCCAGAGATCTATTAAATAATATAACAAATGGTATTACAAGGGTACAGACACACTTTTTTAATAAAAAATTAGACACACCATCTGGACCAGCGTAAGCTGGTAAGTATATATTTAAGTTTACTTCCTCCTACAGGCCCTTAATAGTCTTCACCACTTCAGTTGTCATTTTTTTTTTTGTATACTCGTTAACACAGTTCACCCACAGGGTCCCTTCGCTAAACAATGTTTTATGGAATTGCAGAAGTTCATTTTGACCTCAGATAGGAGTCTCATCAAAAGCTTGCTCCAGTTTGTTAATGATCAAAGTTGCTTGAACTAGCACCTTAGTTTCTTACCAACTCTGTTACGTGGGGGTGATGGTATTCTCCTGAAGTCTCTTTTTATAGTCAGGTGTTGCTTATTTGGATTTCTTAGGATTTGCTATGGTCTATGTCCCAGCAGCCATTTTTGCCTTATTCTTATCTTCCTTTGTTGAGCTCTAGTGAGGCGTTATTTGAGACTTACTTATTTATTTTTTAATTTAAAAATCTAAATTATACTTCACAATTTCGAATTTTCAAATTGTAAAAAATAATTCTTTGGTGTATATGCTAAAAAGCAATTCTAGCTTACTAACAAGATCAGGAATTGTTTTTTGATTGAATCACCTTACAATTTTTTGAACTTTTGACTGATTGACTTTTAATTAATTTTATTTATAGCTTATAAGAAGATAGTTTTAATTATATTATTTGTACATTTGGACATATTTCAATTAAAAATTTGAATCATATTTTTTCTAAAAAGATTCATTTATTAAAAGTTACAAGAAAATTATTTTCTTTAAAAAAATTTATAAAACGCAAAAATTTAATCCTATTCTATGGACCATTGCGAGCATCTACTGTAGATGATCTACAATGTCTACATATAAAAATATCTAAAGTTGCATTTGTTGCCCCACTCTTTCATATTTTAGAAGCAATAATAGCGCTGACATGACCGCTCCCTAGTGGTACTAAAATCTTGATCCACCTCTTATTCTTTTTCATAACATGCGATCAACCTTTGATGACGCTCAAAAAGAACAGTGAAAGATCCTTCTATATGGGTCTATATTCTTTGGTAATATGCAAAGGAATTTGGCCAATATTTATTGATATACTTAAGGTAGACTGTTCAAATTACTATAATATTTCACTACTAATCCACCATAGTCTAGAACATGATGTAGAATTAATAAAAAGAGAGTAAATAAATATTTTACTTGAAAGAGAATATGGATGTACTAATGAAATATTGATAATTGGGACAAATATTAAATAATTATATGAAAAGTGTACTACTTTATGTGATAGAACCATTTTAAAATGATAAATAAAGTTGTATGCTATAAAACTTTAATTGTTAACATCTAAAAACAACATAGTCTGTGAGAATCTGGAAAGAGGTAAAAATATTAACTGCTAAAGTAATATTTAAAAATGTAATATGAGGATCGAAAAGATTAATAGAATGAATTAACAGTAAAAAAATATCGGCCAGTAAGAAATAATATAAAAATTACCACAGAAAATATGTTCAACAATTCATATTGCAGCTTTTAGACAAAATACAACTTAAGTTTTTAACAGTTTTAATAAACAGTAGGTTTTTTAAAAAATACAATTTTTGTTCTATACAAGAAATTATTAAGTCCAATACTAATATGTGCCATAGCACATATCTGTACTAATAGGTATTCAATGCATAAAAACAAAATATGCACAAATTCTATAAATAGTTTAGGTGCAAAAACAGACCAAATGAATAAATGATGTCTAAAAAGAAAAGTAACTATGCAAGTCACCAAATAAACATACAGCTTGTTACAAAACAGTACATTCCAAACTTCTCCTTGTTTAATATGTTTATTATTAAAGATTAACAAGTGACAGAGGACTGGAAAAGTTTGTATGTGACATAAGACTTGTGCTATTACAAAAATTGGCTGATACTCAGATAATCCAATGTATCCAACTGAAACATCAACACTAGCTAGGCTGTTGCTGTGTCCTTGAGTGAAATACAACATATTTGCAAGTATTGTATGATATAATACCATATCTTGTGTACTACTCAAATGCTTCGAAAAATATAAACTGCATAGAACACAATAAGGTACTAGTATTACATTGTATGGTTTCAAAAGTAATGTGGCAATTAGGATCCATGGAATTATTTTTGACGAATTATATGTCATAATTAACTGAACAAACACAAGAAACCACACAATTCTGCCCAAAGTTACACTTGTTTCTCTCTGTTTGTATATAAATATTAAACACAGAGTTGCGATGCTTATAAAATGAATAAACCATGGCCTTTTAGGTAATAGCAAAACATACTGGGCAACTAAAACTGATACCAATCCAACTAAAAATAGTAATTGATAATAGAAGTAGTTCTCATCCTTTAGCAACCATCCTGACAGATCAGGATACATTGCCCACTTGTCCCCAGTAGAGTTCATTCTTCTTAAAAATCTGAACATTGCTAAACATACAACTGTAGTTAAAATGTCATATTTGCTTTTCATTTTAGAAAATGTAACACAGTTGAAAAATATGAATAATGTGTTAAAGAAATACCAGTATTGATGTTCTTCCTCAACATAACTGGAAGAAATAAAGGTTAAAGGGTGCAGAATACTTATAAAAATAAAGAAATTTAAGTAGCTGAAAGTTAAATGAAAATTAAATGGTATTAAAAAATAGATATTGCTAAATAGTATTATAATTAATATAGAAATCATGACAGAGAATACTAACAAATGCTCAGGTATATTAAATTGGACAACAATAATAGCTAGCATAACAATTTTTTGAAATAATAAGTACTTTTTGTTTTGTTTGGAAAGTATCTGTGAATAAATAATTACTATAACATTTAGTAATACAGAAAGGGCAATAAATAGTGATGATAATTTCTGTTTTATAGAACCATTTGCAAGATTATCATTTATTTTTTCTAAAAACTTTTCATATAATTCTATAGCTTTTAAGGTAGAAATAGAATCAGTATTATTATTAAGATATTTAATATAATGACTAGATGCCTCATCAAATAGATCATGGCAACAAGACTCTTTTTGTTGAAGAATAATACTGTTATAATATAGATCATAAAGATATTTGTCTTCATTAGTTTGAAGTAGTTTCCTATGTACTTTTCCAATTGAGGAAGATGGTATTTTTACACCCATTAATACTGCCAAATTAACAGGAATGTCACTTTGGGATAGGAATGTGTTCTCACAGTGATGACCAACAATTACTAAAGGAACATGTGTTTCAGAATAGGTAGAGCCCCCATGACCTCCACTATCTTTCATGCCATGATCACCTGTAACCATCAGGAGTACTTCTTCACCTTTTGAAGATAGTTTTTCAAAAACTGTATGAATAATGTTATCCATTTCGTTAAGTTTAGTAGGTACCAAGGAAGAAAATGGTCCATAGACGTGTCCAATGTGATCCAAACCTGAAAATAATACATAAGATTATTCTAGTTTAATATGTAACAGAAATAGATGAAAATGTGAACAATTCTAATATTTCATAAGAATCAAATAAAAAAATAATGCCTGAAGAGAAAACAGTCAGGAGGGAAAAAATTAAATAATGGAATTAAAAAATATATGTAGTAAAATTGAAGTTTATTCACAAAGATATACAAATCACATAGACACTACTAATTTCTAATTGATATTAGATATTTACCTAAATAGTGTAATATCATAATATCCCAGTCATCATTTTTAAGTTCAGCATGAACATTTCTTGTGACATTTAAATCTACTTCTGTAAAATCTCTAACAAAGAAGGAACTAACACCTTCATGCCGAGAAAATTTATTAGGAAAAAGTTTCAACCATGTATCATCCCCGTAAAAAACAATATTTTTTCCATTTTCATAAGCAGAATGAATTATACTATCTGATAAACTTTCTGTACTTGCTAGATTTAAAACCAAATCTATAAACTGTGGTATGTTTCCTACAGTAAGAGCTTTAATACGAGGGAGGGTAACTGTTGGTATTTCGACTTTAATTTCATTGGAACAACCATTTTCCTGTAATAAATTTGTTGTTAATGGCATGTATTTTGTATCTACAAAATCTAATCTTAATGCATCTATAACTATCAGAACAGTCTTTTTAAAAGTAGATTGGTTGTAAAAATAATGTTGTTTTAAAGAGACATTATTTATTTTGCTAGGAGGTATATTGTTAATATTGTTGGAGCGGGTAGATATTGGAAAAAAGCCATAAAAAAATAAAAAGGCACTTAATATTCCTAGCAAATAAATTGTCATATTTTTCATTTATCATTTTAATATTAATGTTTACTGATAAAATAAATCATTATTGTTGGTTATGTGACTTCTTTCTTACGTCAACCGTTGTGTCAAAAAATTTAGAGAATATTCTTCTTTCTATTGGCGTACTAAACATTTAGTGTGACAGCCATCTTATATTAAAATGTAAATAAAGCGGTAAAGTTTAAAAATTAAACTGTTAAATAAAGAAATCAAATTTGAAAACTAAGTATAATTCATGACTGTTTTAACCATATTATAATTCTTATTTTTATATTATATTTATTTACTATGTAGTCATTTTGAACGTTTCTTAGCGATCAGTTGAAGTTTGGTCAATAAAATATTTATCCGTATTCAAATAGTCGAAATGGATTCCTTACTTTTACCAAATGAAATAGAACTGTACGTAGATACAATGTGTATTCAAAAAATTGAGAACTTGGGATCATATCAGTAAGTTCACCCTATTTATTTTAAATTTTTTATCATTGATATGATTTTTAACTTAAAAGGTGGATTGAATGGCACCATCGATTACAAAAACTTAATCAGGAAGCTTTGATAGAAGCATTAGATATAAAAGAAGAACATGTTAAAGAAACTTTAGTTTGTTGTGGAAAGGTAAAACTGTATTGGTCGGATTTTACTTTTAGATTTATTTATGTATCCTTTTTAGGTACCTTTATTAGTTCACGAAGGTATTCTAATCAGTATATGGAAGCAAAAAGTTTTACCTGAACTATTAAAGCTGGAACCATATCCAGAAAATACATTCATTGCATATTCTATATTATATCATGAAGCAGTCTGTGTAGCCCTCTTGGAGTTAGTTTTGTTTCATCCAAACTGTTGTGAGACTTTAGGAGACGCAGCTGCAGATTTATTGGAATATTCAACTGCCAATATCTCCCAATTACTGACTGTAACACAAACAGAACCTGATTTAAGCGAATCTGCAGAGAAGCAGCTAATTCGCCAAAAACGTAATTTGTCGTTTGAAATTGGGATAAGATCACTTGCAATAATAAGATATTTATCCGAAAATCTAGATATACTACCTGTTTCAATTAAGTCTAAAATGTATGCAGATTATGATGTACCGGTTCTTTTTACAGAAATTATAATTAGGGCTCCATGGTATAAAGATGGGAAAATGTACGTGGGAGGTAAATGGAAAACGTGGGATAACGAACAATTGTCCCAATATGAAGGACAGGTAAACTAAAATTTAATAATTTCTTTCTACTGGACAAGAATAATGTTTAAAAAATGGTTCACTCATCGACAATGAAGCTTTTGTCCCAATAATTTATAAAAATAATTGGGAAAAATGTTTAAATGAACGAGATGACATAGTTTAACGGTCTTAATCCAATGTTCTCTTTGTTGTTTTACTGGGTAGAAGCAGCTAGTATATGTCGATCTTTAGAAAATAATTCTAGCATTTTCTGGTGATTCCTTTGGTATTTTTGTCTAGAATCAAAATTTCTTGCGCACTTTTGCATAACTGCGTAGAATAACATTCGCCATCATCAGTAGCACGACAATCCTTGAGTCAATTCCTATCTATTACGGGCTTTACACTTCCAGTTTATTTTTAACGTTTTCAGGTCTTGTAGCTGCTCCATATAACTAAGCCTGGGTTTTCCGTTTGGTCTTGTTCACGTTGGTGCCTGCCTAATAATTTTCTTGGAGGCTAGATCTTCCTGCATCCGTTTAACGTGACCATCGAGCTCAAATAAGATTTAAAACGGGTACGGGTACATGTAAAGGTATCGTTGGTGTCAAACATATTGTTAGACTCGCTCTCCCTCGTATATATCTTGAAATTTCATCGAACGACGCAGTCCTTTCTCATCTCTTTTTGAACAATGTCTATTTTTTATCGTTATTGTGGTTAATCAATGTCTTGTAAATTATAATTTATCTTCTTGCTATGTTGCAAGTCGTCGTAAATTTAACAAGGAAGCATTTATATAATTGTAAAGTATAATCCGACACAATCAGGTAGCTGCGCAAATAAAAGATTTTCTAGAAGTAGTCTTAATCCGATAAGTATATGTATATACTTAAACTTTCCGATGTGAACTCCTTGCACTTGGAAATTTAAATTTAGCGCCTTTGCATTTCCGGATATGTCCGCCATCAGAGGCCACTTTTTTGGTCTCCTTTTTCATAACGATTAGATTCCCTCTTTTATCTTTTTGCTAGATGAACGTGACACAGCCAGCTCAATCTTCCAATTTTTATAAACGTGGTAATGACTGGTTCTTTATATGCATTGAAGTTGTATCGTTTTTGTCATACGTTGTTTGCTCGTTTTCCCTCGTATATATTTATTTGAAATTTTTCATTCGAACGTCGCTAGTACCTTCTCATCTCTTTTTGACAATGTCTATTTTTCCAATCCGTATATTAGGACGGGTATAATCAATGTCTTGTAAATTGTACATTTTATTCTTCTTGCTATGTTGCAAGGTCGGTCGGTAAAATTTGAAACAATTTATTAAAAAGCAATTTATAAAAAATTATAAAAAGTAACACATTTTTAATGTAATTCAATTCTACCATTTTCCGCAAACTCATCTATAACTTCATTGTAAAAACCGTTATATTCGTCTGCCGTTATATCTTCTGATACATTTATAAAACCTAAAAATCTTTTCTGTACAGTTCCGTCTACATTAACAAATCCTACGATTGCAGAGAGCTTGCTAAAATTTGTAACATCAGTTGTTTCATCCAAAATAATTGCAATGAAGCGTGTTTGTTTAATTTCATCAATTGTTTTGTTTAAAACCACTGTCGAAATAGCAGAAAGTAAATCATTCTGAATTCGATTTATACACACTAGACTGTTCTAAGTTCTAATATTTTTAAACAAGGTTCGTACTTAGAAAGGAGTGAAACAAGATCTATGCAATTGCCCCTATTTGCTGATTTACTGGTTTCATCGTGACCTCTGAACCCAAGTTCATGGAAACATAAAAAACACATAACGTCAATAAGTCTTTTGAACACGTCTCTATTTTTATAAACAATGTAATTTATTATGTTTTTGATGACTAACTTTTAATGATTTATCCAAAGTGTCTTCTATTCTAGTTTTTTCCAAAAACTTTCTCTTTGATAACGGCCTACAAGTGAGCTTTAGACATGATGTGTTTCACTACCTTATGAAAATTATTTAAATAGCCAAAACCACTATGATTCCAAACACCAATTTTATTGACAAAAAGCAAACAAGGCCAACAATACAGTTTATTCCTTAATTCACAACAAGTTAGCTACTCGTACTGTTCGTAAGATTTTTCCCAATTAAAATGTCTGATGCAAGTTTTTATTTTGGTAATTAAATTTTTTCATTTCAGGCTTCGACCTACCTTTGATTAAGAAAACAATAATACCTCAGCTTCTTTTACCAATTACGTCAAAATGGGTGGCAAGGTTGCCACCCTTTGGATCAGACGTAGAATATGACTGATACAAAACAAAACTGATTATTGGCGAGTGCTTGGGACAGACCTCCGGCATCATTCATGGGCGTCTTGGTAACGTTGAGGAGGGCGCTTGGAACGCCTGGGTCTCTGCATAGAACCATTACTCTTTGCAGGCAAAGATTTACTAGTACTTCTGGGGTCACTGACTGTGGTTTCAGGTACACCAGATCTTGCGGATTACTTTAGGTGTCGTTTTGGGATAGCGCCTTTGGCTTCACCTGGGACACTTTTCTGCAACGTGGTTGCAGGTCGTCCTCTACTACGTAACTCATGTAGAGGTATTACAGGCGAATTGGAATCATCCTCCACAAAAGGATGGAGAGCAGATACATGGTACTTTACAATTGCTATATCCGGGTGCATTACAGTTGCTGCTAACTCGTACGAAGTAGGAAAAACACAACGGTTTCGCGAAAGTGTTTATCTACGTACAGTTTCGAAACGTCTTGGCGTAACTCATTACTTTCACGCGCAATTAGTAAAATGTCTGCTCAAGCACGGCGATATCTCAGGAATAACCGTTTCACTCACGATAATAGCTCGTAAGTCTTTATGCACATCTGTTGGCGTACGTAGCTCACACTCAAAGTTCAAATAAGCCGGGGAATGACCGGTAGCTAAATTTGGTAGCGTATTCATGGAAAAACGAATACTGGGTAGAACTTCATCCCATTTAGTATGGTACCGTTGAACTGATATAGAGATCTGAATCTTAAGATTGCGATTTTTACGTTCCTACGGATTTGAGGCAGGGTAATAAATAGGAATGAGTTATTGCTGAATATCTAGACAGTATGTAAACTGCTGCATTATTTTACTAACGAATTGGGGTCCGTTGTCACCTATTATTCTACGAGGGGTGCCGTATCGTAAACATATTTCGCTTATTAGTACCTTTGTGCACTCCTCCACAGTGGCTTGTTTTAACGGGAATATTTCTATCCATTTCGTGGAAGTATTTTCCACTGCAAAAATTCAGCTGTTTCCTTTTCAGTTACAGGTAGTGGATCCACTAAATCAATAGCAACGCATTCAAAGCGTTGTGCCAACACAGATATTTGGATGAGAACACAGATTCAAAGGTTTATACCTTTGGCAGTCGATGCATTTCTTTATATGCTTTACGACATCTCGCCTAATAGTAGGCCAGTAGTAACGAAGAGCAATTCTTTGAATTGTCTTTTCAACACCATAATGTCCTGCGATGGTCATGTCATGGCACTCTTCAAAACATCGGCTATTTTACTTTGAGGCACTACTAACTGAGCGTCCTCACATTCAAGGTCTTGATTATATCGATTTTATCACTCCTTGATTCATGACATAACCGCGATCAGTATCGGGTGATGTCTACTAATTCAGTTCTTCCGATTCAAGGCAATCAATAATATTTTAAGCTGTGAGTCAGTGAACTGTTCCTCTCTAATTGTCTTATTCCTTATCATTGGTACATCTATTGCGATAGTACAGAGGTCACAAATATTTTTCGTGTCTGGACCACAGATAGACTTGATATCATATCGGCGATACGATTAGTTCGTCCAGGAACATATTCAATTCGTATGTCATAACTTTGCACTTCCAATTACCATCGAGCAAGGCGGCCAGTTGGAGATTTTAGTGACATTAACCATTTCACAGGTTGATGAAAGTGATGTGTTCAGATGTTTTTGACAATAATAGGCGAACTTTCTATGTAACCCCGGAATTTTTTAATTGCATATACTATAGCTAAAGCTTGTCGCTATGTAGTACTATAGTTACATTCAGCCGCTGTGAGTAAGCGACTTGCATACTCTATCGGCTTTTCATTTTCTTCCTCCCCCTGGAGAAGACATGCGCTAAGTGCATACGAACTTGCGTCCAACGTCCAAACCAACTACGCAAACAACTACAAGTTTGTAAAAATGATAAAACATGTTTAACATTGCGTTGGTATAGGCATGTCAGCAATTGCTGATATCTTCCCAGGATCAGGAGCGATCCCATTTGGCGTCAGAAGGTGCCCTAAAGACTTGACAGAAGAGCGCACAAAAGTACAATTAGCCCTATTTACACACAATTTAAATACTTGCAATTTTTGAAACACATTAGTTACATCGTTGGTATGATTTTCAAACGAACTAGATAGAATAATAATATTATCTAAATATGCCAAAATAGTGAAACTTGGTAATCTGCTACGAAAAGGATCAATAAGCCTTTGAAAAGGCATATGATTAAATCTTAAAATACCAAAAAGAGTAATAAAAGAACTTTTATCTCGATCTGATGAACACTTATTTGATGATAATTAGAATTAGATTGGCTTAGTCTTTTGACTAATATTGTTAAATTTTCTGCATTTTGACTGAATATGCCAAATATTTACAAATATGTACACTTCGATTTAAATTTTGTTTTGCAAGAGTCCTTTTCTCTGATTTCATTGAGGTTTTTGTCGACTATCAGAGTCGGTAGCAACTAAACCTCTCTTTAAGGAGGCTTCGATTTCTCGAGATTCATAAAAATTCCTTAAAGTTTTGAAATTTATTTCTTGGTAGCCTTTTTCGTAATTTGCGTACCAGTAAGTCATAAACCATATCCAACTGAACCTCTTAGTTAGGATATAAGGTAATTGTGCAAGCAAAGCATGAATGTGGGAAACAATAATTCAGTAGGTTCACTAGAATTTTGTTCACGCGAGAATACTTCTCGAAATATTAAATGAGGCGGAAGTGTTTTCGAATAGGCATCTTTTAAGGCCTGTCGACAATATCTTCCCATGTGAGAACTGTATTTTTAATACCTTGCCATCTATGTTGCAGCAAAACCATTAAGCAGCATCGATAAATCACGAAGGGCATTCTCATACTTATTTGGAGCAGTCTTAAAAGTGATACATTGTAAGAAAGCTTAACATCAGCATTAACCGTACCTTCAAAGCGAGCAGTAACATTTAACGTAATTTCCACCTGACATATGTGTAGAATTCGCTTTCTGGATTGTTCAAGATTTCAGATACTAAAATTAGTAAGTAGGTACTGAAATGTAAAGATTGAAACTATCTTGGACATTTAAAAGTAAAATGGGTATATAAGCAATAACAGTTATTTTATTGAGAATGGGATATAATTATATGCAAATAAAAAGATTTTATTGAGAAAGTTAGTACAATTATACGCAATAAAAGTTAATTTATTAAAAAAGTTGTATACCAAATATCTGCTAGTACTATTCAGCCTAATCAATAAATTACAATTAGTAACAGTGTTCTTGGCTGTATGGATCCACTCCTAATGCCAAAAAATAAAACAAAATAAAGTTCTTGTAGCCATGTTACTAGATCTTTTATTACTCACAACTTATTATCATACGAGGTCGCTTGAGCAGTCCACTTTATTTCAGTGACTAAATACCTTGAACATGATTTATAGAAGGTCGAACAAGATGGACATATCGTCGCACACACACGTATTTGACGCTTCTTTTTGTGGTTTTATATTACATGTATATCTCTTATACACTGTTTTAGGCATGGTTAGCTATCAGACAACTTCTCTTAGATCCAGAATGTTCAAAATATTACGCGCTTACGAACAAGCATCGAACTACGCTTTCAAAACTTCTTCCTCGAATGATTCCTACTCTTCTTGACCAGCTGTCTCCCCTGATTGAATTACAAGAATGGTTGAGTAGATTCAGTGTCATGGAAGAAAATCATTCAGATCCTAAGCCTTTGCTTATAGAAACAGTGTTGGATATTAAAGAAAGCATTTTAAACCAGACTGGTAGAAAATGGAAAAGCATTGCCCAAAAACAAGTTCACCAAATTTTTACCAACGATAAGGAAACATTGCAAGCTATTGCAGGAAGGTAGGAATAAACTTTTTGTACTACTAATTATTCGTACTAGAAATACATTCATAAAATGATCACAAATACACCATCAACGAGTATAATCGACTTCCTAGACAGAAGTAACCAGTTATCAGTGACTCGTTTTTTTGCACTGTAGTTTCTGAGATTTAGTATGGGACAACCAATGCAGCATTTATCATCGATCTTAAGTTTAGAATGCGGTTTAATAAAGAAAGATATATTTAATATATTATAGACATATTTACATTTTAGACAAAAATCATAGTTTTTAAACTAACTGGGATGGTGTGTATCTTTCGTGGGTGGAGTAGGTATACTGAAATCTATAATAGGTTTCCCTTTCATTTTTTTGTCCCAGAACAACATTTCTAATAACTAGACTTGGGCAAATATGCAAAATCCCCGGATATTAAAATAAAATATGCAATACATGCATTTTGCATATTTTCTCAATTCTAGTTATTAGAAATGTTCTGGGACAAAGAAACAAAAGGGAAGACCTATTCTATATTTCAGTATATACCACCCACGAAGGATACCTATAGGGACATGAGGTGTATCCCAGATGGAGAAATCAAATTATCATCAATCTAACTTAAAAAAGTGTGTGTTTAAAGGAGGAAATGGCAATAGGTAAACTTTTTAACACAAATATTTTAAAAATTAAGTCGTTAAAGAACTCTATGATAATACCTATCATTATTAGCTTTGATGTTGACGCTAATATGCGTAAAATATTTAGCAGGAAAAATTACATTCTGCTTTCGAAGTCTAGTTTTCTTTTGTTTTGTAGACAATAGTTTTATGGAATACTTTCTTTTGAATTTAAATTGTAGGTTATCTGACGCTTACAACACAGAGTTACTGGAAATGTTTGAAGCTCAGCGTGATGAAAAGTGTGCAAGGTGTGAAAATAATGCTTCCAAAAGATGTTCCCGATGTCGTAATGCATGGTACTGCAGCAGAGAATGTCAAGTTGAGCACTGGAATATCCATAAAGAAGAATGTCAATCAACTATTTAACTATAATGTATTGACTAGTTTTTGTCGTATTTAATTATTCATACTACTTTGCTTCTGTTTACTATCTGTAATATATATGGAGAATTTTGTGTGAATCTACAATTCATTTTCATATAATCAATTTCTAAAACAGTGTTTCTTTTCAGAGTACAACTATAAAATAAACAAAATTACAGAGGTCTGTAATGTTTTCCCAGAAACAAGTAAAATATTTTGAATATTAAAATCGTCATCACATCCGTTTTGGTAGCATCATCCTAATCCACAAATGGACTGACAGATGGACCACAAAATTGCATGATCAATTAAAAAAATTATTTAGATTCAATGAATATTGGTATTTACAAACCAGTAAATAAAACAACGATCGGTGATAACAATCCAAAGCCAAAATGAAGGTAGTCATTTATTACAAACTCGTAGTAATGTCCGTTCGTTGTGTGGTTACTAGTTTTTGTCTATCTATCTATAGCGCAAAATCTATTCATGTGTTGAATATAGGCCTCTCCCGTTTGTCTCTGTCTTCTGTTTGTCTTTTCCACATTGGACCTGCGCTTTTCTCAATGTCATCTTTCCATCTCATTTACGGTGGACCTCTTGACCTTTTTGTAGTATATGGTCTCCAGCGGCCAATTTCTTTATTTCATCTTCCACCCTGATATCTTTCGTTATGCCCAGCCCATCTCCATTTTAATTTCAATGCATGTTCGACAGCGTCTGTTGTTTCGGTTTTGCATCTTATCCACTCGTTCCTCTTTTTATCTCTCAACGATATTACCAACATTTGTTTTTCCATAGCTCTTTGAGTTTTCTTTATTCTATCTAAGTTGCTCTTGGTACACGTCCACGTCTGGGCACCATGTCAGAACAGGTAGGACGCGTGCATTAAATACCTTCGTTCTTAATTTTAAAGGTATTTTTTTGGTTTTTGATAGTTTATGAGAGTTTTCCGAATGCAGCCCACCCCATTCTTATTCTTCTGGTTATTTCTTTAGTCTGCTCTGATAGCTTGTCCTAAGTAAATATATTCTTGGATGTGTTCTGTTTGTTCCACCTATGGTAATTACTGATCTGTCTTCTGTATTAGTCATTATTTTAGTTTTCTTTGGGTTCGTTTTGTCCTTTCTCAAGAGATGTTTTTTCTAGGTCTGAAGTCATTATTCGTAGTTGTTCCATAGTTGTTGCTATCAGGAGTACATCATCGGCGAATCTTAGATGATTTAAAATTTCCCTTTTATACAAATCCCTTTATTGCCCCAGTCTATAGATTTAAAAATGTCTTCCAACGCCAGAGTAACTAGTTTGCGTGAGATTGTATCCCCTTGTCTGACACCTCTACAAATTCTAATTAATGGAGTTTGCAAATCTGTGTCTAGCTGAATTCTCATAGTTGCGTTTTGATATATATTGTGGATTAACATTCTGTGCCGTGAATCTATTCGGCAATTAACTAGTTTTTGTATGACAAAATATGCCTCAATTCCTCTCTTGTAAAACAAAAGTTTGTATGAAACACACATAGATAATTATCATAGGGGAAATTTATATATTTGTGTCATATACGAGTGCTATCGGATGCCACAAGAATGTAGGATAAAGTAGCAATATTTATAGTCGTAATAAATATTATCCAGAAAACCCAATAGAGGAATTCGTCCATCAGAGTTTAAGTCTATAAGCAGCTTTACATCTAGGCCATGCAAGTCCAACTTTACATGAAGGCTCAGGATGGCAGAATCTGCAAGACTCTCCAGCTCTGCATAAACCTCTCATGAAGAAATAACAGTCTACTTGTATTTGGACTACACAATCTCTTCGGGTTAATGCAACACACAATACCAATAGACAGTTGAATAGGTGTTTACCACGTTATGAGAATTCTTTAACCAGTATCGCAAAGGCCTCAGTTCATTTCTCAGCATAAAATAATCCATAGCTACCAGGATATATTTATTTTTATCATCTGTTTCTGGAAATGGACCTGCAATGTCGATTACTACTCTTTCGAAACAATATCAGGCATGTCTAAAAACAAAACATGCAGTTCTCTTCAGTTTTGTGCGTTATTGTAGCGAGACGAACTAGTTTTTGCGTTAGTGAAATAGCTTTAATATTTTTTGTAAACAATCGTTTTTAATATTCTATCATTTTTTGGATCAATCTGAATAAAAAAGGTTAATTGTAATTTTTCACTGAAGTTGATCGTTTTCAACTTACAAACAATAACTGAAAAAAAATTGATGATTGAAGGCTTAAAAACACAATTATTTTTGAATTCAACAAACCTTGTTCTATCAGTATTGTTACTTTAGTTTGGGATTATTTAATTTAAAAACATGTTTTTAGTTGTTTGAGACCCTTATTACAACCTAAAAATGGATTTATACAAAACTGTTTAATAAATTAGGACCACTTTTGTATAACTGACCTCTTGAACATTATTCTGCAGTATTTTATGAAATCACTTTCACATACAAAATCTTATGGGAATATTTTTCTCAAGAAATTTGAAGTTTTCACCTCGTATAAACATATTTTGCTGAATTTAAAACCAAAATCCTATTACTTTTCTATCATACATTAAGTTATTTTTTTGTCTTCTATATTTTTTCAGTTCTTTAAAGCTTTATTTATAAAATCCACAAGGAAAATAATTCCTGCAGCTGGCTGTATACCACGTATCACAAAAAGAGGTTAGATCTTTGTAAATGGGTATATTTAAAAATGTGTAATGATTAATTTAAACATAAATATATTGTGTATGTGTTCTCATATTTTGGGACATGTGTTAACTTGTATTTTTAAACCTGATGATGGAATTATTATTCCGAAAACGTTTGTGTAATTTGATGTAGCCTTTTTAAGGGTTTTTAAAATATACCCATTTACAAAGATTTAACCTTTTTTTGTTGTTATAAGCCAAATTAGTGCAATGTAAATATTTTACATAGCAATTCTTATCGGCAGTGAAGACAGGAAGTATTACATTTTTATTACATCTTTCAATGTGAGATAAAATAAAAATGCAATGACTAACTGGAAGGTTATTAAGAACATTATGTAGAAAAACATCAATATGTCCTATGAATTAAAATGGTAAATGTTTTTAGGATCTATTCATATTCTCATGCATGCGTATTTACGAGGTCCATGAGGCTTTGAAACTGGTCGGTATTGTTGTTTGTGTTTAAATGACTGCGGACACTAAATCCATTCGCCAATCTTAGTTGTGGTAGAATAAATTGATTGCAAGCCTATTTGAAATGGACTCACACAGGCAACAATAATCAAGATTTGAATTAAAGATATTTGCAGCCATTTTTTGACTGGCAACCTATTATTAATGCATTCTCCTAATTGTAAATGTATGTAAAAATGTGAGTTTTAACTATATGAATATAGTGATTCTGCAGTGGGATCTTACTATTAAGAGCGTAGGCGCAAAATTTCGGGCAATGCTTTCATTTTTTTCGAATCCTGAGAAAACTAATAAATATTTTTGAAAAATTTAAACGCAGAATGAAAGAATACATTATTACCGAGGGCCGAAAGTCCCCGAAAACTTCTATAATGTTTATTTTAATGAGTTACAGGGGTGAAAAAAAAAAAATTTAGTGTAATTTTTAATTTCAAATATCTCATTCAAAAAAATTTTTGTTTATTCTAAGGGACTTACGGCCCTCGGTAATAATGTAGTTTTTCATTCTGCGTTTAAATTTTTAAAAAATATTTATTAGTTTTCTCAGGATTGAAAAAAATGAATGCATTTAAAAAGCATTGGCCCGAAATTTTGCGCCTACCCTCTTAAGGAAAAAATGTGTGAAACCTAAGAAACGAGATTTAGACAAAACAATATATAAAATATCTCAGAAGCAATTAAAATGATTAAAGAATCAGAGATAATCTTTGAAATTAACTTACAGGATATTATAAAAATAATATTAGAAGAGATAAAATACCATATCTAGCACTAAAGAAATCTTTGTAAAAGGTGATCTAGCATTCTAAACTGAAATGAATTTATGTTATGACATATAAAGAAAATGATTTCTTAACAAATTAACCCAACTGTAACAAATTTAGAAGATTAGGACAAAAACTTTTAACATTTGATATACATAAACTAAGATTTAAATACAAGCAATCAATAATTTTCTCTAATTATGTATATACATATACAATTTTTAAATAAAAACGCAAGCAGTGAATTTTTAAATTTTATTAAATAAAAAATGTGTTAACATTACTTAGCATTCTTAAGATAATCTCTAAGAACATCTAAGGCTGGGGATTCTAATCCATAGTCCTGAAAACAAAAATAAATATCATTCACAGTTCAAGAATTCAATAATAGAATAATAAAAAATTAAAAGTATCAGATGGCGATGATCAGCACAATATTTATTTGGGTAACCTCAGAAGAGGGAGCCGCCAGAAAATCATCATGATAGATTTAAAAATTAATTAATTAAAGGGTACTGTGTGAATAAGAAACTCTGTTGATTGACACACTGGTAAATATGAACTAAATTTCATTTTAATCAATTTTTATTGTTGACATTCACAACAAATAATTGTACCAATTATTGATGTGAAAATGAACATTCATAGACTATAATGAGCTTGCAACATGTAATTTATAGCACATTGCAAGCTCTTCTGTTAGTTTTTTTGTTATATGTTTCATAACTTACTAATTATAATGTAAGGTTTATTTTCATCAGTTATATTCAGTAAATGATAAACATGATAGTAGTCAATTATATTTTTTTCTTGGATGTGATACAATGTTATTATTTTTCTTTACATTTTACACATGTACTAATTTTTTTGTAGAATGTTTTCACTGTTATCCTTAATTTTGAAATTTAATAATATATTAGTTTTTCCATTTTTCCACTAGTTTTCTTTGCATCCTTTTTAACAGCTATATTTTTTAATACTTAAAACTACTAAGTAACATTAGTAAACTGGTGTTACATTTCATTACTTTTTTACCATCCTATGATAACCTATTTTCTTATATAAATGCCAAAATTTCATTTTGCACAGGTTTTACTATATAAAATTAAAAAATAGATGTAAGTTAAACCTAACCTAACCTATATAGCAACAAGATTAACTTTGTTTAAAACTTATATTCTCAAGCTTGATTTTATTTTATGCAATATTTGTATTTAAAAAGTCATGCAGTTTAGGGAAGGTCTATACTTCATATATAACCAACTTTCTTCAACTAGAAAATTGTACAAAAGTAAATGTTTCACATTTTATATGCATCATGTAACTTCTTCCTCAGTTTTTCCCTTTTCAGAAGATGCTGTTCCTTACTCCTCTTCAACATGCATTCCTGTCCCTTGTGTCTTCTTTTTAAAACCTTTCTCTTTCAAGTCCACTGCCACATAAACCTATCTTTTCCTCAGTTTTCCTCTACCTCTCTTTTCCTCAATTTCTAACTGATCTATCCTTTGTTCCACATAGTTCTAATTTCTACATCTAACATGATAAAACCATCGCACTCTTTGTTTCTACAACCTTTTTTGAGATTCAAGTCAACCAGCTCTTTCCTAATCACAATCTTCTTGATCTTGTCCCTTCTATTCATAATCAACATTCACTAACATTTTGGGCAATATGCATAAATGGGCACTCTAACCTAACCAAATATATTTTCCTCAAGGCACCGTGTCACAGTGTTGCCGTATTTATTTAGTAAAAATATATATATATATATATATATATAGTATATATATATATATCTATGAAGTTACAATAAAGTTACTTTTACGAAATAATAATTTGTGTTATGAAAAGCTAATAATTTTAAATAAGTATAAAACTTGCTGTATTTTTTTTGTAAAATGTATATGAAGGTTTAAAAGATAAGTTACTTTTACGAAATTATAATTTGTATTATGAGAAGCTAAAAGTTTTAAATAAGTATAAAACAAATATTTTCTAGTACTTTAAATGCAGTTAAATATTGTAAACTAGATCTTTCCAAATCTTATCTATTAGGACCTTATTATTAGGTGCGAATGGTCAACCTGCTACAATGACACTTGTGAATCATAAATTTCAATGCATTTCTATTATATACGGTAATTTAATTAATACTATTAATTTTTTATATCATTTTAATCAATTTTATTGTATATGCATTTAATTATTATCTTAATTTAATTAATACTATTAATTTTTTATATCACTTTAATCAATTTTATTGTAATTACATTTAATTATTATCTTTAATTAAAATCTATGATTTTTTGTATAATTTCAATGCATTTGTATAATATTATGTGAGAGTATGAAAAAACTGGAGACTTGGCAACTCTGACACCATTTAAGCATATGTTAAATGTCATATAAAAGCTTGGTTATAGTCCGACAAGATATTGAAAAGGTGACTAATACATTTAATATGACAGCCGAATTGTACGAGGTCTAAATCAAATACGCCGTTTACTAATAAGAAAATCAACACAATATCAGTTCACATTTTTATTGATCTCCATACATTTTACTGATGATATGCGGTCTTTTACAGTGAGCCAGCTGTAACAACCAATGCATTCATGATACATTTTAGCAAATAATATTTAGTCACCACAAATAATCCGAATTCGTAATTATTCACTCCTTATCAGTGCGTTTCATGAAAGCGTGCTTAAAGTCTTGTATTACAATTTGAATTCTATTTGAGAATTTATTGAATAAAATAAAACAGACTACTTTTTTTTTAATAAAATGTTTAGATAATTTATTGCCAAATAACAAATATAACAATTGTTAGTAAAAACGTTTGTATTTATACATATTTATATTATGATTTTTAATCGTAAAGGCTATGTACTGAGGTATAAGATATTTAGAATTTGTAAATCTTAAATAATATTGTTCTAAATAAAATTGTTTTGAATTGGAAAAAACTATTTTGGTCAAACTAGTGTACTAGGTACAGTTTATATAGAGAATGTTAAGGGCTCTGCTTATTAACGAGTGACATTGAATACCTAAAGTTAGCCAACTGTAGTGTCAACTACAGAATGCGTGTTACTTTTAAGTAATTGATTTGTTGCGTATCAATTAACTAAAATAAAATCTTAAAATAAATAGGTTTTAACTTTCAGGTATTTTATTTTGTTTCATGAATAAAATCTTTAGTGTTTCTATAAACTATTCAATTTATGATGATATAAATAAGCTAATATACAATAAAATAATCACAACTGAACCAAATTTTTAATAATCTTAAGAGGTGGAGTTATAACCTCTCCAATTAACTTGTCTCTCCACACCACCCATGGGGTAAAATTTTCTGTGCATTTTATTTGTATGTCATCATCATCTTTGGCTCGACAATCCCTGTGGATCTTGGCCTGCTCTAAGATTCGTCGCCATTCTGTTCGGTTTTTTGGCAACATGTTGCCATCTTCTGATTTTTAATATTCGTAAGTCGGTTTCTACTCCATCTAACCACCTAATTCGCGGTCGGCCTTTGCTTCTTGTTCCTACAGGTGTTCCTGTGGTTAGCTTTTTAGCAAATGGTATTTTCTGGCATTCATATTATGTGTCCAGCCTATCTAAGTCGCTGTGTTTTAATGAACGTTATGACATCTGGCTCATCAAAGAGCTGATACAATTCAAAATTATATCTTCTGCGCCACTGCCCTTGGTCGTTTGCAGCTCCAAATATTTTGCGGATTATTTTACGCTCCAATATTCCCAAAAGTCTTTCATCTTTCTGCGTTAATGTCCATGTTCTGCTCCATATGTGAGGACCGGCCTCAGCAATGTTTTTGTATATAATAATTTTAGTTCTTCTTTGAATGTTTCTTGAGTGGAAATGCTTTTGGAAGTCCATAGTATGCTCTATTTGTAAGATTTATTCGTCTTTTGATTTCTTCGCTTGTTTTATTGGTAGCAGTCAATAGCGACCCAAGGTATGTGAAGTTGTCAACACGTTCAAAGGTATGACTTCCAAAGACTGTTTCTCGTTCCTCATTTGCTGTCGGATCCTTTGTAACCAACATGTACTTGGTTTTGTCTTCGTTGATGACTAGACCGACCTGTTTCGCCGCTGTTTCCAATTCTAGGAGATATTGCTCAACATCTCGCTTGCTACGCCATATTATGTCAATGTCATCAGCATATGCTAAGACTTGTATCGATCTATTGTAAATAGTACCGCCGTCCCTAATTCGTGTATCTCGGACTGCCTTTTCTAAGGCAATATTAAATAGGAGGCAAGCTAGAGCAATTTTATTTGTATGTGGTGTCCCAATAGCCTAATCCACAATGCAATATTCATTCAGAGTCTGTTTCTGACTGAGATGAATTTAAATGAGATTGTTTTATTATAAGAGTAATCAATTTTTTCACAACACTGGTAAATGTGACTGTTTCAATTAATTTTAAAAGCACATATGTACCTCATCTATCTAGCTATGGAAAGCTCGAAACGGAAGTAGAGGATCAAGTGAATAAAGCAAACAGAGCCGCAGGTTGCCTGAATGAAACAATATGGAGAAATAAAAATATGTCCATCGGAAAAGAAATGAAACGTAAAATTTACAAAACAGTCATCAGACCATGATATGATGATCAGACATAAATGCGCGGCAGAAACACGACCTGATACAAAAAGGACAAAAAAATGTTAGAAGTAGCAGAGATGACAACCCTTTGAAAAAACGATGACAAGACAATGTGGGCGGCATTAATAACTGCGTAAATAACAGGTATAATGGAATGGCTACATAAGCCAAACGACAACAAATAGAGTAGTAAGCACGGCGAGAGACGGTTCTCCAATATGAAGAGGATCAGTGTAAAGATCACGAGAACAATGGAATGACAACTTACTGGAGGCACATTGAAAAAACAGATAGTCATATTTACACAAAAACAAGAAGAAAATATGTACCTCATAATTTTCCAAATTATTTTACTCCATTGATTCTGCAGAACTGTCTGAATCATTTGATCCTAATTGTATTGTCACAGGCTCAATAACAGTATCCACCATGCCGTCCAATCTCCACATATCGTCTTCTACTTTAATAACATGGCTTATCGCATTGTTCCAATCAGTTGAATGTATATTGTCCAAACTGGCTTGCAAGAGGCGCTGGACATCAATAATTTTAAATGTGACATTTTCTCGAGCTACATATCCTTTCATTTGTGCCAAAATTAATTCTATTGGGTTTAGTTCACAATGATAAGGTGGTAGTCTTAAGACGGTAATGCCATGAAGTCTAGCCATTGTATCCACAGCATACTGACGATATGTACTACGATGTTGTCTAATAATATTCATTAGCTCCATTTTAACCATATCCTCGCCGTATGGAATGGATTTTTCTTTTAACCAATTTTGTAAAACTGCTTTTCTGTCACTCATATTAGGAATTCGTTCAACAAGTGGGCTATGATAGGATGCATTGTCTAATACTACCACTGAATTAGGTTCAATACGCTGAAGAACGTTTTCAAACCATCTTTCAAAGCATGTGGCGTCCATGTCCTCATGATAGTCGCCTGTTTGATACAAAAATGAGAGCACTATTTTGCAGAAAACCTGTATCACTACCGATATGAGCTACAATAAGACGCTGACCTTTGCCTGATGGTGCTCGTAATCCTGTTAACAAGCCTTCTATAAATGCTTGACGAGGAGTTGTTACAGTCGTATCATGCCAAATTTTGGAAACTGTATGACCGGCATTAATCCAAGTTTCATCAAGATAATAAATTTTTCTTTTGGAAAGACGATAATCTCTAATAGAGCGCAAATATCTTCGTCGCCATGCTACTATTTCCTCTTTAAAATTTAACTTGTGTAGAACTTTTCTTTGCGTTTCAGCGCTCATTTGAGGAATCATATTGTTTTCCAGTAACTTGGTCCTAACTGTTTTGATCGTAAGGGGCTTATTTTCTAAAAAGAATGTATGTACAGTCCTCCTGATTAAATTCAGTTGTGTTTTATCTAGATCTAGAGGTTTTCGTCCACGCTGGCCAGTTTTTGGCACACTTAAAGTTGCTGTAATTTTAACTTCACACACAATCCGTTCCACTGTCGAGGCTGACACCCCTGTTAAAAAGGAACAGCGATCTACAGCGGCCTTTGTAGAATGTGTTTTTTTAAGTCCATCATACAGTTTCCACACGATTTGTTTCTCAGCTTTTGAGAGAGGTTTGTGTCGATGATATTTTGTGGTACCTGCGCCAACAGTTGCATCCATTTTTATTCTATAAAGACGAAAATATACTTTCATTAATATTGCAAAGTTTTATTTATTATATGTTTTAACTTCTGTGTTTAACAATGTAAATGAAATGTCAATTATAGTATTTTTATTATAGAGTGTTGCTTTATTACCCAGGAAACTTAAACAAAAATTGAAAAGCCATAATGAACAATATTTCTTATCTTAACTTAAATCAAGTGATAAAAGTTTTTAACAGTATCCGGGCCCCTTATAACATTATTGTCTGAACCATGTTCCATACACTTTTCGAAATTTTCTTGATTTTAAAAATTAATTATTAATAATACAATATTTATTGACTTTTTCGAATAAAAATCTAAGTATTAATGGTTTTACTTCATTACAATATAATAATTAATTCTTGATTTTTTTATTACAAATCCAAGTCTTAATGGTTTTGTTTTAAATCTTACAATGCGTTTACTTGTCATTTCATGATTTCATTTAAGACAAATATGGCAAATCAATACATTTAAATTTCACAGCTGTTTAATTTACTCACCTCGAAATAACGAAATATAGTTGTTAACAATAATAATATTCTAACAATAATAATAGTCTAAAACAACAATAATATTCTACGAGTTTGCAGTGAAAACTTTCCGCTGTAATGTATCAAAATTCACTCACGTTCACTGTGCACTACAGTACGCTACTGACACTTCTCAAATTTAACCATTATCAGCAGCTGCAAATGTATGTGTCACTGTCTTCAAATTCTTGACGGAGTATAGGTTAGAGTGCCCGTTTATGCGTATTGCCCAACATTTTCATTTCAGTTACATCCATCTTCTTTTCCTGAACCCTCTTTACAGGCCACACTTCCCCACCATACACCAATGTAGGCCTCACCACACTGGTGTATATCTTTCCTTTTAGCCTCTCACCGATTTTTCAAACCATTTCTTTGTAGAACTCTCTTTTGTGTTGTTTGGTTTTTAACAGAATAGATCTCTAGATCTAGATTTCAACAGAATAGTTTATTGGTTATTTTGATGTACTTATCTCCTAACCTTTTTAATTTTTCTGAATCTTTTACATTTATGGTATTGTTCTAATCTGTAAATCCCTTCTTGTGGTGACATTGTACAGGTACAGACTTTAATGTTTAGTAGACAAAGACCAGGGATTTCTTTTAGAAAGTTGAATGAATTTTGGATATTTTACAATATATTTTAATATGATTTAACAAATATTTTGATGTTTTCCCCTTGAAAATTTAATTTCCTACTTTTATAACTTTGTCAAAAACATGAATTTTTAGTGATCCTTGCTAATTTAAACAATTACCATAAGTTTGTGCCAATAACAAAATGTGAAACTATAATGTCAATGCTTAACACGTTGATGGACAGAGACGCTGTGCAGCGTCTTTTTTTAAAATTGTGTTGTGACAGAACGCTGTGAAGCGTCCTTAACAAAAATTTAATATCGTGGCAGAACGCTGTACCGCGTTATATTTATAATATAAATATATGGTAACACGTAATCCACTGTCGTAGAATACCTATCTATACCTTCCAATCTGTTACCCATCTGGTAAATTATCGTAATATATTATGGTAATAATATCGACAAAAAGGACACTGTACAAATTGACTAATTTTTAAATAACTTAGGTGTCCGTCAAGGTGTTTATTGGATATGATCTTTGGAAATATAGTTAAAACTGTAGTATTAAGGATCACAAGCTTTAGCATAAATTAAAAAACTTACCCTAATGACTACGCAGGAACAGCCAACGACCTTTCGTGCTTTACCAGTGTTATCAATTTTGCATAACCCTGACCATTCTCCTAATTTTTTGTTGTTGTCTACCTTAATAAGAGGAATTTGATGTTCTGAGCATAAAGCTGACACCAGTTTCTTATACATAGGTTCGTCACAGTTTTCAGCGAGCACACAAAGCACGGCTTGTCTTTTATCTAAAGCTTTAGCAGCCTCATGCAAACCATGAACGACTCCATCATGAATAAGGGCTGTTTTCAAGACTTCTTGGAGTGCTTGGTTTACGTCCATGGGCCCACCAGATTGTACTTGTGGGGCTGGGGGTGCATCATCACTGAAACAGAAAAAAACATGCTTTTAGTGTTTTACCCAACTTAAAATTCATGTAAACATTGTTTTTAAGAATAATCAGAAGGCGGATATCAGCATAATTTTTATATTTGGGTAACCTCAGAAGAGGGAGCCGCCGAAATTCATCATAATTAGAACTTTGTTATTATTTAAAGTAAGGTTAATTTAATACTCACACTTCGATATCAGACATTTTTGTTGTTTGGCTGAAAAAAGAAAAAATAAGAATGAAAAGAAATCCATATTACTGAATTTTATAATTTCGATAACTTTAATATTTTGGATGATTAAGATTTATTTAGATGTTTGTAGAAAAATAAAATTCCGAAAAACACGTACCTTCCTACTGAAGTTTTCAAAGAAAAGAATTGGCGTCTGACAGCATTGATGTCATTCAGTAGATAGAACACAGAACTATAAATTGATAAATTCTATGGGTTGAGTTTACCGAAAGCACAGAATAATAAACAATCAGAATGTCCACTCTCAGATGCCGCCTTTGAAGTTTTTCAGCACGCGCGCCATGTTTTAGAAGGAAACACATAACACAGACATTATGATTGTAATTGTTTATATTTATGTTTAATTATATTATATTTAACAATGTTAATTATAATTGTATAGTATGTCAATTAAACCGGGTTAATTCTTCTATGTACACCACATAAACAACACTGCTTCCCTCTAAAACATGGCGGAACGTCTGCGCGAAGGAGATGCGCGTACCTAATTTTCCATATAGAGTGGGCATTCTGATTGTTTATTATTGTGTGCCGAAAGTACAAGCTGATTATAGCCGCAAATGTCAATCATGGAACAAAAATTTTTATAGAATTTTGTGTTTACACCAGAGTCACAAAATAGAACGTATAGTTATGACAGTTATGACACTGACATTTTTATTTCATAGGTTAGAATGTAGGCGTAAATTTATATTTTTAATAAACAATTTAATTTAAATTAATTTAAAATGGCTGAATCTACAATTCAAGAGGGATTCCTTTGCCCCATTTGTCACAAGGATTTGCGATCTGCAAATAATTTAATATCCCATTTTCAAGATCTACATTCAGAAGAGAAAGACCTACTTAGTTCCATCAAAGGTTGAATATATTTTTTCAAAATTTATTGATTATATATCATTTAATGAATGTAGAATGTAACTGCTGAACTAATTTGTACTTTTTGTAGGTATTTATGGAAAAGTTAAAAAGAAAATTCTCACTGTAGATGATCAAGATTTTGAACATTTAAGAAAAGAAATATCCCTTCAAGAAAAATATTATCTAGAATACAGTGAACCTCAAGATCCTGGACCTACAGTGTCTCATACAGATTATTTTAAATCCATAAGAAGGGATAGGCTAGATCATAAGACAGCAGAAACTAATAAATTAATAATTAGATTAGATAGGTTATTAAGAGTATATGCACCCGATAGAAAACAACATGAACAAGAGTTAGTGGCTTGGTTAGATGGTTCAGCAGTTTCTAGATGTCCATCTTGTGCATCTTCCTTTAACATAACAAGAAGGCAACACCACTGTAGATTGTGTGGAAGTATTATGTGTAATTCCTGTTCATATTTTTTACCATATGATACTGCCCGTAAGTTTTTCTTTTATTATTCACTACTAGCATGGGATTGTGATTAACAACAGTCACAATTCCCTCTCATCTTTTACATATACATACATTCTCCCATACTCAAAAATATAATAAAAAAATGTTTGGTTTTTTGACTACATCTCTCTTAATTTTTGAGCTAGACAGCCAATTAAAACACCATTTTAAGGGCAACATATATAACTGTACCAGTCACATGCTAAGGGGAACTTAAAAGACCATCTTTTAACACATTACATGTAGATGGCATACATATGAGGCACATGGTGCCTTCATCAATGTGTGGATGGTGCGCATGTATGCCATTTATTATACAGATTTTTCTAACAAATGAAAAAACTGAAACTGATAACTGAAACAAAGTTTCAGTTCAGAGTATAAGTCTCATGATCGGACATCCACACACAATGTGTTAAAAGGACAGAATATAACATTTTTAACAACCTTGAGGGTATAAACTGTTTTCTAACAAAATTATTTAATAATCTTTTCTTGACAACGATTTCTAGAGTGCAATTTCAAATCCAGTCTATAAATCTAGAAATATATGTCATCACAATAAATTGGTAAAATATATGGCATTTTTACAAATGTCAAAAATATTTTTTTCACTGTAATTATAATTTTTTTTTCAAAAAAATTCATTTTAAATTCTTAAAATTTTGGATCCCATTACTGATGCTTACATAAAGTGAATTTTAAATGTATACCCTTTAATTGTAATTATAATAGAAATAGCAATGGTAGTATTGTTTATTTATTTATTACGGGCAAGAACAGTATACAAAAAATAAGCTGTTTAGACCAGTACTAAACCAATAGACACAAAAAAAATTTGTTTACAAAGAGTAGGCACACTTACAAAATAAGCTTGAGTGTACTTGAGTTTACCAAAAGTACAAGCTGAATATAGCCGTAAATGTCACAAATATTTGGACTTGGCAGTGTTGGTATGTTTTTTATAATGCATATGTTGTATGCTTTCAAATATAAAGAGATAAAGCTTTTAAAAAGTACATTTTGATTATACTATTTTATGAATTCCGCAATTTTTATTATATATGAAGTAATAACAAGTAGATATTTGTCTCTTTCGAGATTAATTGCAAACATCTTTTAACGAAAGAAATTTAATTAACTGCAATTAATCTCCAAAGAAACAAATACTTACTCATTGTTGTTTTATATAAATCAAAAATTGCAGAATTCATAACACAATATAAACAAAAGTAGTACTTTTCTAAAGCTTTATTTCTTTATATTTGAAGCATTCAATATATGCATTATAAAAACATACCAACACTGCCAAATCCAAATATTTGAGTCATTTGCGGCTACATTCAGCTTGTACTTTGGTAAACTCAACCCAAAATAATAATAATAATAGTATTAACAATACAATTAAAAAGAAAAAAATACAGTATACTCCCTCTATAACGAGAACTGAAATGACAGACTAATTACCTTTAACAAGTTTACACCAACTTAATTAGTTAGCCAACTTAGTTTAGACAACTAATTACCTTGTTATATCCAACAACAATAATACTGTGCATACATATGAATGATGTTACTTTTCTAAAACATTAACTTTCTATAGTGAAGCCATTTGGAGCAACATAAGATGCTAAAATATTGTTTGAATGGCATTTATAAAAAAACAGTTGTTTTACTTTTATTGTCAATGAAATACATTAAAACAAAAAAGAGTTGTTTACTTTTATTGTCAATGATATACATTAAAACAAAAAATCTGTATTCTGTAAATATGTATAAAGCATATTTTCAAGAATAACATAAACTTCTGCAATTGCAAAAAGTCTGTCATTTTTGACTGCTTTAAATTGTCCAGTATTCTATCTATCATATTTTCTAAAGATGTGAAACAGTTTTATGTTTTAAAGCTTCTGACAACCTTTAAAACACTTTCCACATCTTGTCTATTAGGACCTATATTATTAGGTGTGAATGGACAACCCACTACAATGACATTTGTGAATCATAAATTGTAAATTCTAAGAATCATAAATTGTAAGAAGTTTATTGCAGGCTGCCGGCAATTAAAAAAGGGTATTTATTTATAGCTACGGCCGGGCCAAAACGTAAAAAAGCACCTTTTTCAATCTTATTTTCTCCTCGTTATAAACAAATTTACCTCGCTATAGAGGGTTACAGTTCAATAGAAATTTCATGGGACATCTAATGTACCTCGTTATAAGCGAAACCTCATTAATAACTGTGTTCGTTATAGAGGGAGTATACAGTAATATATATCTACATATATAACAAGAATGGTAACAATGAAATTAAAATAGCCCAATAAATTAACTGATTCTACGATATCATATAAATCTATGAGAGGATCTGGTAAATATATCTAAACTTGGTAGTGTGTTCACTAGCTTTAACATTCTCGGTAGGAAAGACTCATGAAATGTTTGTAATTGTCAAGTTATATGAGATGGTACAGACAGATTAATTTTAGAGAGTAGGTCAGGACTAATTACATCAACTGTTCACAATGTTAAATAGTAATGTAAGATCTTTTCTTTTCCTTTGAGATTCAAGTGAAGTGAAGATATTTAGTTGTGATTCCATATTTGAATAGTTGCAATAAGTATGCAATTTATGAGCAACATATCTCCAAAAGTTATTTTAACCAACTACAACCATTACCACATGCGGCACAATTTTTAGACAGCTTTTAAAAGTTATCCTGGACCATAATAGACATACACAAACATTTGAGTGGATTTACCTGGATTATAAATGATTTATAAACACTTATAATAATCACTTATTAACGGCCTTTTTTTTTGTGGAATAATTTTAATTAATAAAAATATAATAATAAGAACTGATTATCAATGATTTTATCCACACCCAGGCTAAAAGCTTTTGTTGGTTAAGGTATTCCTTACTTACTGTTAGAATTTCAAGAAAATCAATGCATGTTGATGAAATTCTGACTTAAGAACTGTGGTAACATTGACTATCTGTCTGTGAGTGGTCTTTTTGGATTAGTTGGACAACTAGTGGTACAAGTAGGAACATCTAGAGGGACGACTTGAAGGTCTGACTTCCGACTGGTGACGAAGTGGGAGCGTAAATGGTGAAGTTGGAAGTCAGATCATAGCTCAGATCGAAAATTCCTCAGTCAGTTGACCTTCGTCACATGTTGCTTATGAGATTTCTATGAATTACTTTACGCAAAGATGCCTAGTTCGCAAATATTTAATAGAAAACAAACTTTCAATTGCACGAAAATTATCCCTATTAAAATACATGATTCTTCATCATCAATCTACTTTTTGTTAGGGCAAATCATTTTCCTTTATGTAGATCTATTTTGACTACAGAAGAATTATCAACAAACAAAGAAAATTAAATTATAGTTGTAGTGAAATTAGAAGTAACTGTTTCTTTATATTGTTCTGAATGTTCTAAAGTTATTTTCTTGTGGCATCTTATGCAAATTTACCATTTTTAATTGGAAATAAGTCTGAATATTAGTTAGAAATTAAATTTGTTTGACGTTTTGACTTCAACTTCGGAATATTTTGATAACGATTTCTGAAGTGAAAGTCAAAATGTCAAATACATTTAATTTCTAACTCATATTGTGGCTTATTCCCAATTAAAATAGTAAATTTACTACAAGATCACTTTGTAACTGATATTTCCTCCCTTTTTATTTCTTTTTAAAATAGAATATAACTACACAAATCCTTAAAAATTATAATTTTCCTCTTATGAAACTTAATAACCTCATGCTCATTTATGAACCCTAAAGTATTTTTAAATATGCATATCGGCCGATTATTAACTCATTAATAACGCCAATTTTCGTATCTACTGCACGCCTTTGGTAATGAACAGTGAAGACAAATTTATCGATACTTACAGAGATAATCTCTGTTTGTGGGATAGCGGTAGTGCTTTATACGCTAACTGAAATGCGCGGAAAACAGCCCAACATCAGCTGCTGAATGTAATGTTGAAAGTATGAAAACACTGCCAATGTAGCTTCTGTGCATAAACAAATGACTCTCTACGTTCTATCTTCTTCAGAGAACATAAAAAGTTTAAGTGAGTGAAAGTGGAACTGGTACCGGAGCAGACGAAGTATATGTGCCTAATTGGGTGCACTACAATGAATTAAGCTTTTTGTCAGAAGTGCAGAAGCCAGCCAGAACAGGCACCGATTCTTTAGATACACCTCCATCCTCTGAATCCAGCCTAACGACCGTCGCGTCGTGAAAGCAAATTAGAACTGAAGTTGGACCACTAGTTGGATAGAGAGTCGTCCCACTAAGGGGGACCGCAAGTCGGAACGTGAATTCCCAGCTTTAACAACAGAGAGCTTGAATTAACAATGAATAAGAACATAAAGAACTTCTAGCTAAGCCACATAATAACCATGAAGAAAATGTACACATCCGCTGTACAGCATGAACGCCTATACTTTGTACAGTGTACAGCTTATGATATTAATTTTGTAAAGGAGTTTATAAACTGTATTTAATTATTATTTTTAGAGACAATTGTGACACCTCTGAACAGTGGAAATAGTAAAGAACAGAATACCAGTAAAGAATCTGACACATTAAGGATATGTTACCATTGTTTGGACATGATAGAAAGCAGAAGGCGCATTCAAATAGAGCAAGTTTTACAACCCATTATTTGTCAGTTGTACACACATTTGCAAAAGATGAAAAGTCAAATTGAAACTTCAGTTGAAATGTATTTAAAGGTAATTATTTTTTAAATATATGTAATGTAGGTTAGGTCATAATGCAGGAAAATTATTTCTCTAGGAGCAGCTCAACAACTATATATTGGTACAAATTAAAATATATAACAAATTCAGGTGTTTGACTGTTAATATATTATTATTTAATAATTTTGAAAATAATGTTAAATATATTTAATATTATGAGAAATAATGACAAAACGTAATTAATATTTTTTTTATACAACCCATATAACATATTAATGTCATAAGAATCATCTAAATATGTAAAAATTAGTGACAACTAAATAGTGGAACAGTATGAAGTAATTGCTAAAATTCAAATAAAATAAGACAAGTAGGCTGCAAAAACAATGATGCCAATGAATGTGTGAGTTCACATTTGAACTTAATAATCTAATCTCACTTCTGTATTTAAAGATCTGCTAATCTAATTAGTCATAATGGTTCCCTTAGGGATCTGTCAAATCAAATGATTTAATCTTGAAAAAAGAAAATGATTACAATTTTCTCTTTTGTAGATGTACAACTCCATCATATCTGGAGAAACCACTTATATTTTACAAGATCTTCAGGCTCTGAGAACTACAATTGCAGATAAAGCCCAAATGATCGATACCCTCAGTAAAAAGATAGCTTCACTTCCTGTAGATCCATCCACACCGAAAGCAGTTCTATTACAAAATAACATTAGAAAAGCTACATCCATCTACATCAAGGATTATTTAGTAACTTTGCCTCCACCTCCAACTCCTCAAGAAATAGAGAAAATGAAATATGAGAGGTAAGTTTTGATTTTTATTTGAATTTGTTTATATACAGATTGAACGAAATAAATTCGGAACATATGAAATATTATGTATTTCGGCTCAATTTTGCTGTAGGTGGTTGGCCAACAAAAGGTTGTCAAATAATTATATTATAAAAATCCAATACTTCAGCGGGCTGCTGGATTCTGAAATCATAAAAATTGAAAGCTACACATAAATCTACGATTTTATTATGCTGTCAAACCAGTTATCGCTTCTTTAGACAAGCCCTTCTTTGAGCGGTGTTGTCAACCTCATTCCTTTAGATGTTTCTCAAATAAGGTGTTATCCATAAAATATTTACAAGAAAAAAAGAAAATAACTACAAACCATTAAGTTTATTTTTGTTATTAGTCTGTTGTAGTATATTGGTAAATACAATGAAAAATATAGGCAAATATCCGATTTATTTAAAGATACGAAGAAGATATAACTCTCAAAAAGATCCGCAAATCGGATTATTACACGGCGATTGGCAACATTGTTACGCAAACAACATTGTTGCGAGACAGATAGTTGAACGATATTTTATGCAATGTCTAAACTCAGGTATGGATTTATTTTTGTCCAAGTTTTATATTGGTCCACTATTTCAAATGCAGTTCAAACAGACATATATTAAATTGTATGATCCGTTTTAAATTCGTTCAATTTTATATGTATGTATATATATATATATATATATATATATATATATATATATATAGTATATATATATATTATATATAATATATATATATATATATATTATATATTGCAATTAAACTACAATTTTATTTACACACTCAAGACGTTTTTTTCCCTTTCCAGATGGGACTTTTAGACCTGTCAACAAACCTGTTAGGAAAGTTCACTTTTAAATCCTGCCAAATTTTTGTCACAGTATGTCCTTCATTTAACCATATTTCATCTCTATAATGTTTTTTTTCAATCTCTTCGAAATTCTGCTATCTGTTTCAGATACTTTCTGCGCCATAAAATAATTTCTTATTTTTCAATAGGGGTACTATTCTATTTTTCTTGAAATACCTTTAAAGTTCATTCACGTAAAGTACCTAACAAAACACGTCTTGATATTTTTAGAATATTTTCATTAGATTGAAGAGAAGAAGCATTTTTTTATAGTTGGTGATTTCTTTTTGAAATAAAATTCATGTACTGCCACGATCAATGGCCTGTTTGGTTGTATCATCCAATTTTATTTGTTTCCTTCCTCTTGTCTCAACCTTCAAAGTATTATTATGGTTTGTTTCATTGTCTGTTTTAATTACTCTGTACACACTAGCTTCGGAAACTTTTGTCAAAATACTACAAAATGTAACAACTACATCGCTTTACATTGATATTTTGTTCTCTGGCTCATAAGTCCTTCAAACACATTTCCAATCATATTTTTTTCTTCGGGTGTTAAATTGTGACTGTCAGTCATATTTATTATTTGTCACCAAATTGAATTAGTTCCCTGTTTTATGAAATCCCTGCCAGTACGCTTATGAAACCGGCTTACAGATAACAGACAATAAGATAGCTATCTAAGCAATGGCGTTGTTACCAATTACATCGCGACGACGCTGTTGGTTGCAGACATTATCTACAGTTAGAGAAAAATATAAACTACAACGTTGTAGGTAAACTACAACATAGGTCTTTTATTTTTTTCTGTCTTGACGCCGTGACTCTCGGACTTGTAAAAATTGACATAAACTATCAATATCTTTGTAATTTTTTAACGTACTTTGGTATTATAAAGTTTCTTTTTATGTTTTTATGTTTCGCATTATTATAAATTTATAGAGCGTATGTTCTTTCTGAGATTCCTTTTTTCGCATTATATCTACCGTTCTGGAGCTCTTTGTTAATTTCAACTGCTGGATATTTCTCCAAAAATATTGTAAAAATCTTTTTTCAAAGTTCTCCCAGCTGATAAATTCATCTTCTTTACTGTCAAACCACAAGCTAGCTTCTTATTTTAAATAGTTTCTTATCGTCTCTTTATATGCCTTAAAATCTTGGACAGATTGTAGTCTTTTTTTTTTATTTTTGATAGAAGGAACTGTCTGTTTTTCGCACATCCCCGTCAAATTAGATTTTCGCCTCACATGTACCCTGAATGACTATTTCTCTTCTTTCTCCGAACTGTTGTCGAGTTCTAATTTCCACAATTTGGTTTTCACTTTATGTCTGAAAGACACTGTTCTGTGTTTATTATACTGTTGTTGCACGTTGTTGATAACTAGTTTCTATTGTTAATCACTGTAATAATAGAAATTATGGAGTAGGTAATTTGTCAAGTGTTCAGTTTAGCAATAAAGAAAAGTGACATCAAGTTTGAAAATTAAAATTTTTGAATTAATTCAAGAAATTTAATATTATTGAAATACAATATTAGTTTTCGTAAGACATAATGTAATTTTTAGATATTTCTATGGAATTCTCTGTTTGATTTGTTTTTATGTCTTCGTGTTTTAGTCTAATTGAAATTAAATGAATGATACTTACTGATTGCATAATCTATTAATGCACATGTATTTTTATTATTTCTGAGGTAACTTTTATGTGATGTTAGTCTGCCTATTAGATTTCTATATCTGTGTTTGATGTTTGACTTACCACAATTTTTGTATGGTATTCTATAAACTACATTTGAGCTTTACTCAAAGCTAATAGGTGTTTAAGTTTTTGTATACAATGATGCCAGTGTTTCTATATTTTTAGTAGTGGCGGATCTAGAAATTTGCCTTGGGGGGACTTCCAACTTGTGGGGAGTAACTTCCAAGGAAATACAAACCAAAAGACATAAAAAGGATAAACCCAAACTACAACAAAGACATAAATAATAGGTTTTCTTTATTTTTTTACTTTCATGGGGGGGGGGGTTCCCTTTTTTCAACCCGGTGCATGCGTCCCTGATTTTTGGTTGTAATTTAGATTTGCATTTAATTGAGCACTTATTGTGGGACTAAATTTCATACAAACATTACCTTTTCTTTATATAATAAAATAAGCTAATTATAGTATCTAAGAATTAATTATTTTCGCCTCGAGTTACCGGACGTCTCCGACCAGTGAATTGATCGGAAGGGATCGTTTCGTCCAATGACGGTTTCGTCGGCATTCAAGCAGTGAAATATCCGCAAGGTGTTAATTAATGTCAAATGTTAATTACGTCATTCAGATAGACTTGTGACCATCACTGTTTCATTGCCACAATGTACTTAACCAATATTGCTAAAAAAGGTCATTTTAAAATCTACGCGAATAAACTTCACCATAATCGACACTTGCATAATTAAAACATATTTGAATTTTAGGTCCAAAAAGCCCATCGACGAAGATATTCCAGTGGCAAGCACAAGCATAAAGAAGGTTACAGTTACAACAGGTTGGTCACCTGCTAATGTTGCTAACGATACTACAGTAACAGAAGAAGCTGATCCTATTTTAGAACAAATGAATATCGTTAGAAGCTATATTAAACAAGCACGAGAAGCGCAGAGATTCGAAGAAGTAGCATCTTTAGAGGAAAATTTGAATATGTTAAAGGAAACATATAAAAGAAGCATAAACAAACCATAATTATTTTTTGGTACTCTTTAGTTTTGCATGATATATAACTCATATTATAGAAATGTTACTTGAATGGTATTTAAATAATATGGAAGGCAAATCTACAACATTATATCCAGTTTTGAATTAAATATTAAGTTGTTTACATTCCAAGATTAAATATTCTTTTAAAATAAATATTCGATTCTCATTCTCCGTTTATTATAATTAATTTTTATTAAAGAATAATTCTCCAGTTTATATGACTCAAGTAATAATAAGAGAGTGGGTTAACAACTATATAAATGTTTTGCCATGGTCAGTAAAAAGTCCTGGTTTGAAAGCCATTAAAAATGTATAGGGCTTCATAATCGAAAAGATATATTAAAAATCTTTAGGCCCGAAACCGCGGTGAACTCTGAGAATTATTACGCCTGGGAAAAACCCGTACATTCTAAGGACATTTAATTTGATCTATTCTAAGAACATTAGAAAGTGTTGTGACGGCCAATAGCTCAGCAATAAAATATTAATAACACTAGTAAAACTAATACATGTTTGCTCTCAATATTATATCCTCTCTTTACAGAAGGCAAAGCCAGGTTTACAGGAATGAATTTAAGTAAAAATTTAATGACAGCTAAAGAGCATTTATATGTAATATTAATAATAATATTCCACTCTTATTTCATAATTCCCTACATTTTCTACTATCCCGATCATATGGCAACAATGTGCAAACATGATAACGTCAAATATGATGACGATTAGGCGAAGCAATAAAAGCAGTAAAAAACCCAAAACCTATCAAATTTTTACGTCTCTTGTAGTTTTGTGGGAATTCGATACAAAATCAGAGCAAACTCGCTACTCGGGGAATGGAATCAATGGAATATCAGAAAATTAAAGATTTATTCGTGATTGTCAAAAAGTGTCCTTTTATTTTTACTTAAATAGTCGTATGCAAAATAATTATTTTTCTGGTTTTGTAAAAATCATATTGCATTTATATTTATGTGATTTATTTTGAAATATAAATGTAGTGTTTTATAATAGATTTAACAGTATAAAATAATATTTATATATGGATATTATTGTCTAGTCATAATAAAAAAAAATAAAATTTAAACATCTTTTATTAACAAAATCCCTAAATAACAGTTACAAACAATTATTACCATAACACATATCAATGTATCGGTCCGTGTGAAGTTGTCTGTCTCTGTGGCGTAGTGGTGGGCCAACCTGCGATTTTTGTGTAGCTGTGACAAAATGTTACTGCTCCAGTATTGGTCACGGTGACAAAAAGCAGTGATTTTTTGGATCAGTTTAATCTTAACTGCTACCCCTGCTACCATCGCTACCTTTGTATATTCCCAAAATATATTTATAATTATATCTATACTTTACTTTATTATAAATCTTTACTATAAAATATTATTATAAACTTTATTATAATAACTTTATAATAAAATATTAATTAAATAATTTTATATAAATAATTATATTTATAATTTTATTATAAAATATTAGTTTAGGCAATATTTTTTGTACTGCTTTGTTTTTTTGTACCATTGTTTTATTTTTTATCTTTGTTTAGTGTGGATTTCCCCTTTAAAAGTTAAAGAAATAAGTAGATATATTGATTTTATTCTATTCAATTCTTATGTTTTTTACCTTATGATAATTTAATATGACTTAGAAAAATAACTTGTTAAGGATTTTTAACGCTGCTATTATCCCATGCTCGACCATGTCGTTCCTTATGTTACAAAATAGCAAATAATAAGTACAACAGTCACCATATGAGAGTGACTGCTCCCATTTTGAAAATGCTACCGTCGACAAGGCTTGTCACTGTCGCAAATCACGATATGGACCAGTGCAACGTCTTGTGTATGCGTCACCGGTAGGCATACATCTGGACCGAAGTGATGCAGTTCACATGTAGAATAAAACGTGACTGAATGTCAACTGCTATATTATTTCAGTTTGAAGCGGACTGCGACTCTGACAACGTTGTAGCAGTGACAAAGTAGCTGTTCGTGATATCGCAACCCACCACTAAGTAGCGTAACTACCGCCCAATGCAACCAATGCGGTGCATTGGGGCTTAGGGGGCGCAGAAAAACTGATATTCTGGAAAAAAATTTAGCAAAAAAATATTGAAGCAAAACTACTTCTAGCTTCCCGAAAATAAATGTAAAAAAATATTCCTGGTATTTTATTCCGTTACGATCACAACAAAATGTTGGTGACTCTTTTGTTTACTATTATGGTTATCTTATCTCCTTGGCGCGACGGTGCACATCTGTGCTTATCGCTTTCTCATCGCATCTGCTTTTCTTTATTTATCGTTGTTAGCTACAAAGATATTCAGGTAAAATCTTTCAGTATTATTTTAGTAACTATACGACCACGTGTCCCATGTCATATATACTGAACAAAATAGACGGTAATAAAAGATAAAGATCTAGTGGTGCCAAGTTCTGAAAAAGGAAAAAACAAAAACATGAAAAGGTGAAAAAACTACCAAAGATTGACATGTTAAAAAAAACGGGATTTTGCTGATACTTCTAAAAGTCAATCAGGTGACGATGGTGTTGGTGAGAGTGAATGTGAGCGTGGGGGTGAAATATCTACAACAGAAGAGGTCGTTGCATTTAATTTTCTTGCCGATAACCAAAATTCAGAAGTGCACCCCAAAACGTGAGTAAGCCTGCTGATTTAAATATTACATATATCACTCCTTTTACACCAGCAACTGACGTAAGTAATACAGTACAAGAAAATACTAATGACATAGGTATATTATGTAATGATGAAGTAGAGAATACGGACATAAACTGCTTTTCTCAAAAGATATGAATAAAGATGAATTGAAATCTCATATTTTAAACTCCGAACCGTGTAGACATTCAAATAAATAGATCTTTGTTAAAAGATTATTCTTTTTTCGAAACAAAAACTGGCCAAAAAAATTAAGCACTTATGGCTTTGCTACTCTCCGTCTTTAAATGCAGTGTATTGTGGACCATGTAGGCTGTTCGCTAACAGACTTAATAAAAACTTTAACATTGCATGGACTATAGTTTAAAATGCATGATTGGAAAAATCTGTCGACAAAAATTAAAGACCACGAATTGAGTAAGTGCCATATCAATGCATGTATTGCTTATGTAATAAGAAAAAATAACAGAGATATCAAAATGCTTTTTTATGACAAAGAAGAAACACTGGAAAAAGTAACAAACAGAATTTTTGATGTTATCATAACAATATCAACCGGTAATCTAGCTTTCAGAGGGCATTGATCTGAAAGCATAAAAATGTTTAAGCCCTTCAATTCAAAACCAACTTATTCATTTGACATCTCATCAGATCTTGAGTGAAATATTGACTGATGCTCAATAGACTCCATTTTTTTTCTCATTTTAGATACTACACAAGACATTTCAAAAATTGATCAGTTATCAATAATTTTAAGATACGTTTTATACAAACCAGATCTAAATCAGCTTGAGATAATGGAATCTTTTTTTTGGCTTTGTGCAAGTACTAGACCAGTCAACCGAAGGCCTAGAGGAGCTTCTAGTTAAACCTATAGAAGAAAAGAAAATGGCTTTTGATAAGTGCCGAAGTCAGGGATTTGATGGCACTTCTGTCATGAGTGAAATTTATACAGGACTGCAGAATTGAATAAAATCAAAGTCTTCTATACGCTGAGATGTTCTTGTGCTAGTCACAATTTCAATTTAGTGTTAAATTACTGTGAAATCGATTTCAGAGATTTCATCATTCTATGATACAATAAACAGTATATACGTATGTTTCGGCCAAAGCATACCAAGATGGCAATGTTTTTAAAGAATTAACAGACTCCTGTGCTATTAAAGTTAACCTTGAAAAAACGTTGTCCTACTAGGTGGTCGTCGAGGTACGACGCTTTGCTATCAATCAGTGTAAATTTTGTAGCAGTGCTGAAGTGTCTAACAAAAATAATTTTAACTTCAATAAAGAACAATGAAGTTGCAGAAGCAAATGGTCTTATGAAGCAAATGTCTTGATTTGCTTTTGTTTTGATGTTAGTGTTTCAAAGTCGAATTTTAGAAAGAATCCAGGATTACGAGTAGAATTCGACAATGCCCTGGATCAAGCCAGAAAGTTAGCTGCCAAATGAAATATTGATTCCTCAATAACCACCCAACCCAAAAGAAAAGTAAAGACTTTTTTGACGAACTTTCTAGTGACTATGAGTTTAGTGATCCTGTGCATTGCTTTAAAGTTAAGGTATTTTTAAGAGCTGTTGATATTCTTATTTTACAGTTAAAGGAAAGGTTTAAATCTATGATATGTATAACTGACAGATAATTTATTACATTTTTCTGACGAACAACTTGTTCGTCATAGAAATAGGAGAATAGGGGCGCACGAGGAATACTTGCATTGGGGCGCAGCCAGACTAGTTACGCCACTGGTCTGTCTGCCATCGGATGCGTCCCCAGGTGGGGATAGGGGAACGCTCTAACCTAACCTAACCTTAGGACCGGCGGGTAGATGGGAAATCAAATTCCACCCGCGAACCAAAACAGACTAAAGTATGACAACCCTAACAGAAGAGTCCCTGGCCCTCCAGGCTGAGGATTGGACTTGCGTCTAACAACTCTATCCCGGAACGTGCGTACACTTTATGAACCTGGAAATCTTAAAAAAGTAATAGACGTACTAAGTCAATATAAAACACACATTACTGCTGTGCAAGATGTAAGATGGACTGGCCAAGAAATTGTCCAAAAGAGACAATGCGATAATTATTACAGCTGTCACAAGACCAATAATGAATTCGGAACCGCCTCCATTGTTAACAAAAAAGCAAAACATCTTATCATGGACTTTAAATCAATAAGCCAACGAATATGTTATATAGAGTAAGAGGTAACTTTTTTAACCACCGATATCACCAACGACAATGGAAATAGAATAGGATTTGCAGCTTCCAAGGGCATGGTCGTTAGAAGTACCTACTTCCCCTATAAGAATATCCCACAAGTAACTTGAACTTTCCATCCCCGCGGAAATCATGTCCAAACCCAAAGCATTTCCATCCTTTCCTCCTGAAAGTCAACACGCACTAGACAAACGTGACGTTGTAATGGCTTAAAACCACAAAAATTATTTTCCATTAAAGACGAAACTACTGAACGGCCCCC